AACCACTCATAAAACCCTATCAACTGGGTTTCTAGCTTACTAACCAAATTAAGCACATTTTATTAGTAAATAAATAAAAATAAATTGTATAAAAAAAATGTATTTATTTAAATCTCATTAGTATTTTTTTGTGTTATTTGTTTTATTTACACATACAATTTGTCTATATTCATATTTAAGAAATTAAATAATATTACCAAAATGGCAGAAAGTGGCATGCAACAACCACATGCAGTTCTTGAAGAAACTGCCTATAGCGACTACCTTGCAACCACTTAGCAACGTCATAGCAACCACCAATCAAACCCTAACCTCCATTCAAGTGCTGAGCCAACACCTACAGTAGCAACACCCTAGAAACCACCCAGAAAACCCTAACAACGACTTGGCAACCACCCGGAACACCCCAGAATTCTAGGCAACCACCGTCCTAGAAGCTAAAAATCTAAAATGATCACGTAATGATTATTTCAAATTAGACTTTGTTTGAAACAACTAAACAGATTCTAAATATCATCATATTTGGTAACACTTTATTTTACAGTGTCCTTGTTACACGTTACATGTAGTTACTGTAGTAATAACTATAAATTATGCATAAATACATGCAACTAACCCTAAACCATACCCCAATCCTAACCCTAACCCTATCGTAAGGACATGTAGTTAATTTTTACACAGTACTTAAATGCAGAATCACACTGTAACACAGACACCTTAAAATAAAGTGTAACCTAATTTTTTTCTATCAAGTGAATGCAGTTATCCATAGTTATTACAGGATCCATAAAACATCTAGTCTTTTAAACCTTTGATAATATATATATTTTTTTAATATTGCATAACAGATGGTAAAACAGACTTTTGGCAAACAAACACATTTAGGCTTTACTGCATAACAAACAAAACACCTTTAAGAAAAATGACATAATGGACAAACACAGAAATGAATGTCCTCCAGTTCAAAAGAGACTGAAACTGTCCATCACATGGAAACCACCTTCAATCACAAGTGCACGACCTCGAGAAGATAAACCTCTACTCTCAGCACATAGAAGTTCAGGAGACACATGAAATGGTTCAAAGTGGATGATGGGTGGCCTGATACTGAAAGTCCAGGAAAGCCTTCTGTCATTAGTGGATTTATAACCAACATAAGGCATTACTCAAGAGGGTCGGAAGAATTTCACCTTTCTGACCTTGCTAAGCCCGAGCCTAAGCCGCACTGCCCACTTTTGACAAAATGCAATGAAGCCATCTCTTCACGCTCATCAACTGTGCCGCCCAGAAGGAGAAGGCTTGCGTTGGTCATTGTCTGTTTCACATCTTCTGAACAAGCGCTGGGCGGTCATTTGATTAAGCCGGTCCAGCGGGAGCACTCGGGTTACAGAAAATATTAGCCTTCAGCAGAACGCGCTCGGGGACAGAACAGTCAAACGCAATGAAGGGCTGACTTAATCATCTCATTTTACAGGATTAGAGGAGAAATGGCTGACTATTGTGTTTGCCCAGGCACAGAGCCCTGCTCAAGGTGACCAGAGAAGCAGATTCAGAGCTAATACACAACATAAACGGTTTTGATAGATGCTTTATAAGGCTTTTCGGGTATATTTTTCAGTCAGCACTGTACCATCCCAAAGGCCAGAGTCATCGTCAAGGGATTTCAAAAAGGTCCCCTAAGATATTGAACACTTGTTGGTATTGCAATTGTTCCAGGCCCCACAAATTTGAATTGATTGTGATTATAAAAACATATAGCAAAATAATGGCAAGAAAGCTTGTGTAGTCTGATTCACAAATAAATAATTCTTATGAACTGATTCTTTTAATGAATTGTTCACTGAATGAACTATGCTTCAAAATGTACAAAGAACTGTTTTAAATACTTAAGATCTCCGAATATATATATATATATATATATATATATATATATATATACACACACAATTTTTTATTTTAGTAAATAATATACAAGTATTTTACATTTTGGATTCATTGCACCTGTAGGAATCAGCTGAGTCACTGCACCACAGACAGCCGGGGAAAACAGCGCTGAGATGGCAGCACACCTCAGGATTCTGCCAACACACTCACAAGCAAAATGCAATCCTGCTCTCAGGCAACAAACACTTTTCTGTACAACACACCCCCATGAGAGTCTATACAGCAATCATCAGATATGTCCATGAAATAGAAATGACAAATCTGTTCTTGTCAGCTATAAAGCGTGACTTTCAGACGTGGATCCAGACTTAAGTTTCTCTGAGCCCTAAGAGAGACCTGCAGAAGAACAGCCACTTTATTAGCTGAAACAGGAAGTCAAAAGAAAATTCAAAGCTTTTATAGTGTATAATCATCAAATTTTACATCATCTTTAGCCAATAGTAGAAAAAGGAACTACAGTATTTATGCACTTGATCCTCGCCAAGCCCCGCCTCCCTTGGTTACTGTTAATAACTCAAACAAGCTTTACAGATCATTCCATAAGAATGAAGATGTCAGTGTATGGTGTGAGTTAAATAAACTGGCATAAATCTGATTTTAAACTTCCGTTCAAAGGTCTGGAGTTGGAAAGATTTTGTTATGTTTTTGAAAAAAGTCTTTTATGCTCAACAAGTCTGCATTTATTTGATCAAAAATACAGTAAACAAAAACACAGTAATATTGTGAAATATTACATGTAATATTTATTTTATATCCAAAATAACAGTTTTCTATTTATTTAAAAACTATTTATTCCTGTGACGGAATAAATACATCATTACTCTAGTCTTCAGTGTCACATGATCCTTCAGAAATCATTCTAATATGCTGATTTTGATGCTCAAGATACATTTATTATTATCAATGTTGAAAGCAGTTGTACTGCTTCATATTTTTGTGAAAAATGGTGTAAAATTCAGGATTCTTTGATGAATCGAAAGTTCAAAAGAACAGTATTTATTTGAAATGGAAATCTTTTGTAAAGGCCCGTTCACATCAAGGACGATAACTATAATGATAACAATAAATAAAAATCATTCTAAATATAAAAGAATAGCAGAGTCCACATCACAACTATAACGATAACAACACAGAGGAACAATATCATTGGAATCACTTTCAGAACGATTTTGTCTAGTTGATGAATAAAAACATTTGAGAGCCAATCAGAATCCATTCTGCTTTAAAGAGCTTGAAGCAGCAGACGACAAAACTGCAGCAAGTGCTTAGAAAAAAACAAAACGATATCATCCACTGGTGTGGACGTTAATATAGTTGTTATTACAGTTATCTTTATAGTTATCTTGGTGTGAACATTAAAACATTTTTAATGTTAACAATTAACAACATCCTTACTTTGAAAAAACTTTTACTTAAATTAATTGTGACATTAAGCATTTTTATTCGCTACTGTTCTTTAAAGAAAGTGTTGAATTAAATCAATAACATCATTAAAGCTGCTCAAAATGCAGAGAGAGCAAATCAAATACCTTCAGGCAGCCTATGATGTCACCGACAGGTGTGCATAATAAATATACAATCTATTTAAAGATACCGACCACTAAAAACTCTTCGTTCAACAGTAAGTCAGCTGTGGTCGTTCTGTGGCTTCCTGACATCCAGGTGTTTCCCAAATAGACCTTCAATGGAAGCTCAGGTGCAGTGAGTGACGGCTATGTGAGTCAGTTCTCATTACCTTGTTAAAAGGGGGACAGAGAGGGCTGACGGCCCCCTGGGTGACTCATATTGACTCACAGAGCTTTGGATGATAATTCATACTGTAAAAATCACTGCCTGGGCCTTTCAATTACACCAGCACCCTCCAAAAAACAGCTCCAGCATGCCCACCCACCCTCCGGGAGTTTCTTCGTCGTTAAAAGCCGATGAGTCACGGCCGCCAGACAGAGAAGTGCCCGTTGAACGGGATTCTGTCAAACCTACTGTAAATCAATTTAAATCAGAAGCTGTGAATGAGGAAACTCAGAGCAACAACAAAAATAATTCCAGGGACTCTCGGTAAGAGAACAGAAACCTAATGCTCCCCGTGTGGGCGGACAAGATAATATGGAGGGTTTTTTCACTGGGAATAGAGAGCAGCTACAGTAAGATAGACAGACAATTGTGGTGATTAGCTGGAACGTGAATTCATAAAACACTAAGGTATAAACAAACAGAAATAAAGCTATGAGTCAATGAGTAAAAATACTTATGTAAAATGTTAAAAGTACCAGATATTGCAAGAATTGAATTCAAAAATCTTGATTTCTGCCACAACATTCAGATGGTAGAGTCAGAATTTAATTTGTATTAATAAATAAATGAAATATAAATCAATTAATTAAATATTCACATTTTTTCTATTGTGTTAATTTTAAATGAATTGAGATTTTTTAGACCTTTTTATTAAGATACTTATATAAAAGATACTTATATGTGCAAAAACACTGAAACCCACATTAGTACACAAGGTCTGTTCACTTTGGCCTGTTCTTACTGAAGTCAAAGATAGCATCCAGCCTGAGCACACTTAAGAGTGCGCTTTGTACACTCGGGCAAGGCATCCTCCCCTGGGTCTAACATGAGATGCAGCTGACATTTTGTTCCCAAAAAGCTGGCACTTAAAGACTCATCTAGTCAAAAGCATCCCTGTCATTGGTCCCCTATCGGACGCTGATGACCGAAGAGATTGAGTCAACAGTCTATCCCTATCTAGTGTCTCTGTCAGCCCATTACACTTGACCCTTAGTCTTGAACTCAGCTTCTTGCTTACAGCACAGTAGGCTACTGAGGCACATGGGACAACATACTGTACTGAAGGTGGGCTCATATGTACACTAAACAAACAAGCGGGACAAAGGAGGAGGTCTTATGTAAGGGGGCTGGAATGTCTGCACATGTTTGGATGGGGCTGTGCTTGGAGAACAAGCGTATTCATTGTTGAAATCGACTGAATGTTGTAAGCTGTCCTTGTATGCTCGGATGTTTTAAAGTGGGATTGTGTGTATGCGTTTGTTTACCTTCATCATGTCCACCACTGGCCTCTTCCAATACCAGGCTGTTCATGCAGTTGATTTCCCATTCCTGAACATCCGTGTTCCAGAGTGCTGGGATCAGGACACGATGTTGGGAGCTGGATACATATACAAACACAAAACAGATTATTACTTTGTCAAACTTAGCATATATTATAATATAGATTTTTTTTCTCCACATTTTCCACAATGATTGTTGGGGAAAAAATTGTATATTAACAAATGGCCCAACTGGGTGAATTATTATTATTACTATTACATGGAAAATTGCCGAGATTAGTTGAGTCTTGTGGTGATGTAGGTGCTGTTTGATAAAAAAAAAAAAAAAGAATTAGGCTTTCTGACCCCAAGTTGTTTGGGAGGGTTTCAAGAAAAATCCTTCCCGCTCATCCAAAAACAAACTCCAGCATTTTCAGTTGTCAGACATGACTTGAACTTCAAAAGGGACCGGATTCTATGGTCAGATGAAACAAAAAAACAGGCAAACAGGGATAAAGAGTATCCCATGCCCACGGTTAAATATACTGCTGGATCTTTAATGTTGTGGGCCTATATTTTGTTGCTGAAGGTCCTGGAAATCTTGTTCAGATACATGCTATCATGGATTCTAGAAAATACAAACAGGTAAAAAAATCAAAACCTGACAGCTTCTGCTAGAAATCATTTAATGGGCCGTGGTTGGATCTTCCATCAGGACAACGATCCAGAACAAACATCAAAATGTTTAGAGGCATTTTAGGAGAAACTCAGAGCGGTTATCTTCGGAAAAGAAGGTTGCAATAATTGGGTGCCAATAATTGTGCAAACGTGAACTAGAGAAATACAATTATTTTATAATGAGATTTTATCCCCACTTTCAATTGTTTTACTTCAATGAAAGGTTAGAATTTGTTTCATTTTTTTAATGAAAGATCAAAAGGGTAAACAATGCAGATTTATTTTCACAGCTGCCATTGGTCATATTTACCAAGGGTTCCAATATTAGTGGAGGGCACTGTGTTTATTATAAATACTTATTAATACTTTTACTTTGTGGGTCCTTGGTATCATTAAGGTTGAAAAAAAAAATCTGGATTAAGTGACGTAAACTGAGGTGGTTTCAGAAGTTGATGAAAGATTAGGGAAGACAAAAAAGGGTATCTAGCATCTATAATCTACTGCTTTTCTAAAAAAATTGACAGTTTTAGACCATTTTGACATATTCCTCTGGATCAAACAGCAGCCAGAAACTGAGAAACATTGAGAGATTAAACAAAAAACTAAAATATTTATTTCCCTTGCTATTTAAAGAAAACACTATCACTGTGAAACCAGCCCTCCTAACAGAAGTAAACCTTGTCTGTCTGTGCTTAATGTCACAGCGAGTTACATAAGTCCCGAAGTGGCCTTGTCAGGGGAAAAAGACGTACACAAACCATCTGTCAAGGCTTTGCGGCAAGCAACACGTCAATGGGACTGAATTGGAGGAGGGGCCGAGCATTGTAAAAAAGTGCAAGGACACCTCAGTCCCTTTCATGAAGGACTAATATTGTTCACAGTCTCTGATGACAGGTGACGGACCCCCTTGTCACTCAGGATACCAAAGAGCCAACTAGCACTGAAGTGATGTCAACCGAGTCTCCCTGATTTAATGATTACATAACCACAACTCAAGATGAGCTGTAGAAGTTAGTCATCCAAACTGTTTAAACCAGCTTAGGTTGATTGGTCTGATGGTTAAATGCACATCAAGCTGGTTTTCACAGCTCGGTTTGATCGTTTTAAAGAGGTTTTGGGAACTTAAAGAACCACTTTAGACTTTTTTCTGGAGGGATTTTGAGGCGTTTCTTCTCTTTTCACCTCTTTCTTCTTTCGGTTCCTCTGTTTGGCCTCCTCAGCAAGGCGACTGCTTCGTTCTCAGACGGCTCAGTTCTCTGCCTAGCAAAACTCCGATACTCTGAATCAGAGGGGAGCATTTAGGCTTGACCTTGCCGGCACTGACGTCCTGCCAGGCGAGCAACGTGAACCCGTTCCCTGATGTGTAGGAGCTTTGTGCTGACTGCCATCTGCATGTCAATGCCAAATATCCCCTTTGAAACTGGCAAATGGCTTCGTTTGCCCTTATAATCCTGTAAAGTGGCTGGCAAAGCGCAATGGGCTCTGCATGGGCACGAACATCTCTACCAAGCCACAAAAAAATATCGTTTTTAAATGTTAATTGAAGATCCATTCGCAAAGGTGAGTTTTAATATGGGCACATGACTATAAAAGAATTCCGGATCACATGACAATGGGTTCAGATTGGCATGACAACACGCAGTATTGAATAAAAGGCGACCATAGAAACAACTTAACAATATGGCCTGGCTTCATGTGTCTTTGAGATCCGCTATGTTAATCAAAGTAGTTCTCATGGCCACGTCGCCATGGTGACTGTGACATCATCAAATAAACACATCTGCTATGAAATGACTCCTACCAATATCTGTTTGAAGTTTGCATCGACATGAACACGTTCTCTTATTTCCTCAGTAAACAAGAAATATTTTGGTAACACTTTACTTGAAGGTGTGTGCATAAGAATGACATGACACATTCATAATCATGACATGACACATGTCATGAATATGAAGGCGGTTTTATGCATGTTTATGACAACTGTCATTAAGTTTCATTCGCTCAATTATGACATTTTTAATGCAAATATGACATTGTTTGAGATGTCTTTGTTATGACAACTTGACATGAACCAATACATCATAACCTGTCAGTGTCTTGGTAATGACAATTTTGACATTACCAAGACAACATAAATATGTCATAAACATGACATAGCACATTAATACTCAAACTTAAGAAACGACTTAGCTTTATGGGTTAAGATTACATTAAACTGTCATGTGGTTGGTTTTGACATTGGCTGTCATGAGGCCATTATAACTGTGTCATGAATATTTTTCTTGACCTCAACTACAGTGGTACAAATTGAATTTGTCATTAAAATGTTATAATGGTCTCATGACAGCCAATGTCAAAACCAACCACCTGACAGTTTATTGTAATGTTAACCCATAAAGCTAAGTGTTTTTTTTAAGTTTGATAATTAATCTGCTATGTCATGTTTATGACAGGTTGTGTTGACTTAGTAATGTCAAGTTGTCATGACAAAGACACTGACAGGTTATGATGTATTGGTCTATTTCAAGTTGTCATAACAAAGACATCTCAAACAATGTCATATTTGCATTAAAAATGTCATAATTGAGCGAATGACACTTAAAGGTGCTCTATGTAGCTTTTCTTCTAAAATGAATCCTTTTTTTATTGCCTGTGTGTGAAGGGGTTGTAATCACACATTACAATGATCCATTTGTGGGGTTTTGCTATTATCTTTGAAGGCCAATATTCATATTTATATGTAAAGTCTCCGGGTCGGATTTACCGCGAAATCCATCGGATGTGACGTGCATGCGCGCTCCCGAGCCGCTCTCCTTATATACAGTCTATGCGACGGCACTTCTGCTAACGACATGGAGTCTGCTAACACCCCAAAACAACCTGCATCCAGCACAACACAGACTCCAACACAAACACCACATAAATATAAAAAACAAAAAAAGTTTTATCTGCTGAAGCTCGTCAGGCCAAACGTCAATCGGATCGACTTAGGACGAAAACACGGATCAACATCGGCAGAGTAAACTCTAATGAAATAGCAAGGTAAACTACATGAGACATGAAATTAATACAAAAGACTGTTCCAGGATAACAAAAAGTAGGTCCTTTAGGATGTAACTTATTTTATGTACTAGATCTACTGTCTAACGTTACTCATCCCACTACTATCATATTGTTTATAATAAACATTTCCAGACACGGTCAGTACAGTAATGTTACTTCCTACTGTCTCACTGACATTGTTCAGTCTAGTTCACCGTTTTCGTTATCATATTATATATTCACCTATGTTGACATTGCTGATTGTGAAAGATACACGAATAGTTAGTGAAATGCCTTATGCTAGATAACATCACATGTCGGCTAAATGCAGTCAATGTAACATTATCATGGTACGAGCATGGAGCATTAGTTCAACGTCAAGCTGATAAAAGTAGCCTATGCCTATTATTGTAACGTTGCAGTGGGCGTTTACATAGGGCTGGGTATCGTAACAAAATGTTCGGTACCGATACCGATACCTTGACTTCGATACCGGTTCCTGAACGATACTTTTTTCGATACCAATTTTATGTAACCAGGTTTAACAATATAACATTACCTAAATTTTTTTTCAGTTTGTTGACTTTTTTACACTCATATTTTGAGTATGTAAAAAAGCACCAATGCTAAAGTTTTCTATGTTTCCTATTCATTTAACAACATGTATTCTTTACTTCAATGAGCTCATTGTTTCTGCTTTAACTTAATGCATTAATTAACGATGAAACTGAATGAAAATTAATTGAAATGCATTACACTGTCACCTCTGATAACAGATCACTCTAAATTGTAATTTAGACATGCATTTTCTGTAAAGCTGCTTTGAAACGATATGTATTGTGAAAAATGCTATACAAATAAATGTGAATTAAATTAAATATAGGCTACTGGGGGGCGGGATATATACCTGCACGTGAAGCTTGCAGCAAAGCACTGGCAAAAGTAGCCTAATGATTATGGATGTGGAAACAATAGCAAGGAGATATTTTAATTGTTTATTAATGAACAAGTGTTTACTAATGGTGTGTTCACACCGAACGCGAATTTAATTATTTGTGCGAGTAGATTACATACATAGTCAATGCAAAGACGCGAATAGACGCATCATTCGCGCCGGGCGTCGCGAATGACGCGAATTGGGCGACGCGTTTGCCGCGAACGTCTTCCGCGCAAGTTGAAAAATTTGAACTCGAGCTGAAGATTCAAGCGTCGAACTAGACGCGATAGACGCGTATTTGACGCTCTATTCGCGTTCGATGTGAACACCATTACTCTCAAGTGTATTTTGTGCGCTTCAGTGCCTAGATTTACCGTGTTGCCGGTCTTGGCAGCAATGATCTTGTCGAAAATATTGCATCGCGTGCATCTGGCATCGAGTCTGGCACATGACATAGGTACACTTTGGATCATTTCCACATATTTTCTATCTATCTGGGTTGGGACGCACGCTTACACACACACACACACACACACACACACACACTGCAGCCTCACGTGCGACGAGCCGCGTCTCTGGGCAGCCGCGTAATCTAGTGTTTTTCCGCCACAGCCAATCATGCTGCATGCTTATTGTTTCACTGACGTTGACGAGATTAACCACTTAGGTACCGAAATGTGGTACCGAAAAACAAGACATGTTTCGATACTCGGTAGTATCGAGGCAATTCGGTCGGTACCTAAAAAGTACCGAACTCGGTACCCAGCCCTATACATGAGTTTCCAGCATGTTGTGTGATGCTTTCGCCGTTGCGTTGAAAGTCTCCATGTGGCCGGTAGTGAATACTCGCTCTTGAGATCGAGCACGCACACGAGCACGAGCCCTCTTGTTGCAATCTGAAACATCACCCCTAGAGGCTGCTAAAAAATACATAGAGCACCTTTAATGACAGTTGTCATAAACATGCATAAAACCTCCTTCATATTCATGACATGTGTCATGTCATGATTATGAAAGTGTCATGTCAGTCTTATGTACACCCCTTCAAGTAAAGTGTTACCAATATTTTCTATAAATGTACCTCCTAGAACTTGGACTAGGTCTCGGTTCTTCCACTGTTATGATGAGAAAGACATAATGAAGCTGCTTGACTTCACTTGATATATTAGTGACCATATTGGGAAAAGAAATAGCAGTTAATTTATCTGTATATTATCAGTTTCGAAAGCAATATCAGTTTTTGGATAACAGCAGGTTTGCTTGATTTAAGGTTCTTGCAATTTAATGCAAAGACTAAAAGAAAAAACAAACCAGAAAAGATTTAAAATATAAGTCATCATATTATGGCCAAATTAAGTCAAATTTCTATACGTGCATCACAATTTCCCATATTAAAGCATTAATATCTCTGAATACTGCCGGCAATTAAAGGAAAAAAGCCTAAAACAAGGAATGCACAATAATAAGATAATGATGATGATTATTATTTCCTTTATTTTTACATTTAGATTACCTTTGCCATCATCTAACGCTCACTTAAAAGTTAATCTTTAAAAACGCTAATAATTTAATAAAAATATTAAACGTAATCTTTAGCAAATCTCAAAACGAATATACATCTTTTGATACTGTACATTATAATGATGTCTAAAGTCACTTAAAATGACTAAGGCCTTGTTTCACAGACAGTGTAGGCCTTTGTTAAATTAGGACATTTAAGTCGTTTTTATAAACGTTCCTTAGAAAAAAAACATTTCTGGTGTGCATCTGGACTGGAGACAAAACAATGTCACTGACATATTTTAAGAAATGTTTTCAAAAACAGCTCAAACATGCATTTTAGTCTGGGACTAGGCTTAAGCCTTCTGTGAAACCAGGCATGAATGCTTGATTTTTAATTTAAACAAAATAATATATTTTTAATATCAATCATAACATGAAAAATCATCTGCCAGACTGTAATATCGTTGCACTCACACATCCATAGGCACTCGCAGCAGAACGGGCAGCACGGCGGCCTCCTCAGTCATGTTCATGATACGAGACTCCAGTAGCAGGATGATGGTGAGGCCAGTGCGAAATACAGCCTGCAGCCCTGCAGAGAGTATGAAGAATTGATTGGATCATGTTCGGGAAACCTGTTTTAAAACAATCATTTGCTATTCTGTTAAGTGACACTAGTGGTGCAGAAATCACACACTTCGACTTTGATAAGCAAACATGGCAGCTTGACGCTTGGGATGTTATTATAGTACAAAAACAAGAAAAAGGGGTGTAATACCGTGCAGCATGATAAGATCCCAGATGGCCAAAACCGAGTCCCAGCACGGCAGGGAGGTGAAGAGGGTAAGAAACCACTGCATGATGAAATGCAGAGAAGACACCCCAAGAGTCTCCTAAAAGCAGACAGAAAACAACACACTCCTATTATTATCTGACATTCGTGACACATCCGAAAGAACAGGTCACATTTCACATCAATCAATTCAAATTTTTCATTTAAGTAAAACAAGCCTATTTTTTTGCATAAGAGTTGCATGAGAGGAAAATGTCAGTCACAATGCAAACTTAATAGTCTTAGTACGTAACAGTTCTGAAAAAAGGCTTCATTAAAGCATTTTATACAAAAGATAATTTCTTTTGATTTGGGATGAAATGAGACTTAATCAATGCAGCACTTACATTTTTAGTGAATAATTACCCACATTTTAGTCTGTTACTCACACAAATCTCTTATAAACGTTGGAATACAATACACAGTCAATACAGACAAACTTTTAAGCTGTTTTTGCACCCTGTTTGAAGCTTGAAAGCTCTAGTCTCCATCCATCAAAATGGAATGGAAAAGAACGATATGAACCTTCTACTAAACTTCATTAAAGCTGCAGTAGGGAGTTTTGAGAAAACGTTGACTTAGCCTGAAAATTTGAACAAGCACGACTTACAGGTCCCACCCCTTGCTCTCTGCTGCGCTACAGCCCTCCCTCCACAGCTCGTCCTCCACAGCGGAGCCGGTCGTGAACGCGCAGGCTAGTAAACAGGGCCACCGATAACAGCGGATAAAAAGTTATATGGCACATTCACTATAGGGACTAAACGTTAACAATATGCTTTACATTGACTATGGCCTGCCCATACTTTGACTACAAACTTGGTCCTCAAATCATTATGTATTTTCCAATTGCCTACATGTAACTTTATAACGTTGCACTCTTTCTATAAGTAATAAATAGCTAGTAAGATAACGTTAATATAACGGTAACTAACGTTACAGTATGCAAGTCATTTTTCTACCGATATATAATGCTAGATAAGGTGTGCTAGTACATTATTTCAGCAACATGACAAGCCAGTGAATTAGCAGGTTTCAATTGTTGCTTAGCAGAGTGCGTGACATTTTATCTACATGTTGTGCGGCTAGAGTTTTGACACCGAGTCAATGGGCTCTGTGTAATTCTTTTTTTTTCCGCTTGTTTATCGTCATCTGTCTTTTTCCTTTTACCTCTTTGTTTTATGAGCAGGTGTCACTCGAGAATTGGCAGTTTAGGTTGTTTCTCCGTCATAAGCACAGCTGCAGCACGCCGGCAATCTTGAGTTTGAACGACGGCTCGCGCTGTGCAAGAGAGGGGTGTGATCAGCGCGTACACGAGCGGGATTGACAGTGCTAAGACATGCCTCCTGGCTCTGATTGGTTGTTTCTGACCGGGAGCGTGTATTTCTTGCAAATGGCAATAGGACCACTGGGAGGAGCCAGAGGAGCTTGATTTTTACACAGATTATCTGTCTCATATTCTACTGTCAGGACATAATGACAGTTTTAACAAATACATGTTTTCAAAAGTTACCTACAGGAGCTTTAAAGAGGCCATATTATGCCCTTTTACACAGTCTTGATTCTGTTTTTGCGGTCTGCTAGGATAGGTTTTCATGCTTGAATGTTCAAAAAACACATTATTTTTCACATATTTTATTGTTGCGGCACCTCTCTTCCCAGTCTGACTGTAAATGCCCGTTCACACCAAAAACGATACCGAAAACTATATTAGTGGACCACACCAGTGGACGATATCGATATGGTTATCTGCACACTGAGTTTTGTCGTCTGCTGCTTTAAATATTCAAGCTCTTTAAAGCAGGATGGATTGGCTGTCTATGTTTTTATCGTACATCAGCTAGAAAAATAAAATCGTTTTTTTAGGATTTTTTTTTATGAGGAGTATTGTGATGAGTACATTCACAGAAAAAAACTGAAGACTACAATCAAAGAGTTTCAAAGAGTTCAGAAACAGTGTGATATAGAGAATAACTCCCTTTTTGAAGTAGACACTGCTTTTTTCATGCTCAAACAGCAACATTACACACTAAAGAAAATGTAGAAAGCATAAAAGGTCCTCTTTAATGTTAGTTACAATATGAGAGTGAGCAAATTACAGAATGCTTGATTATAACAATCTACTCCATTTAGTTTTAGGTTTGTCACTGCAATCTGCCTTGCCTGTAAGTTTACAGCATCATCTTTTGTCCTGTGCTGCAGTCTAATAGCTCAGCTTTTTAGACAGCTGTGCTGAGTCAACACACAGAGAGAAGGAAATCCCTTAAGAGTTCTCAAAGCAGCACAAATGCTCTGAGGGGGCGGACAGCCACTACTATAAAAATAAAAATAAAAACACAGAAGAGCTCATTTAAAAGCCCTTGGGAAAAGGTCTATAAGACACGGAGACAAATCTGTGAGGGACATTAAATGAGAAAGGCTTCTCAGGAGAAAGGCTGTGATCTAGAGGACTGAGAGACTGTGTGTTATGCAGCATGTGCCTGTTTTTATATTCAGACATTTTCCTGATGAGAGTTGAGGCCATGATTTATTTATATATACACACAATAAAAACCTGGAATGCAATTTCATTACATACAAATCTAATAAAAATGTAGACCATAATTCTCACCAAGTGCTGGAAGAGCAGAGGTTTCCTGTGTTTCAGGAGCTGGTGAAAAACCAAAGCTTGAAGTTGAATCCTGAAAATAAAATAAATGATTCAAATAGGTAAAAGGTTAAACTAGGTTTATTAGAAAGAAACAAGAAATTACTAATGCTACACTAATATATTAGTGAGGGTGATTAATCAACCAATTGTTGACCTATTTGCAATTATTGACATTGGCCGAAAAACAATCAACTTGGCTGATGTGTGATTTCCAAAATCTTCCAACAGCTTTGTCAACAGATGATTTTAGTTAGGAAAATATTCGTTAAAAAATATAAAGCAAGTAAAGTAGGAACCATTTTATGTGCATGTTTAAAGTTCACACAGTAAAGCTAAGGTCTTACTTCTTCATAGAGGAATCAAAGAGCTCTGAGAGATACTTGGGCTTCTCTAACAGAGCAACCAGTGCCCAGAAAGCCTCTTCTTCAGACAGGATCATTAGGAGCACAGCAGCTATATAGGACATCCCTGAGCAAAACAAACAAACCTTGAGGCATCACATAGTCCCATTATGGCCTCAATGTCAAGGGTGAACTAGCTAAATTAGCTCCACAAAAAAAAAATGCAAACCAAATTATGACAATGACATGCAATATCAACAAGACAGCACTTGACTGCCCTCTTGAGACTGAATATCAGTATATTCTGTACTCAAATATGTTTGAAAGGACCAATAAAGGCACAGGCACAAAGTTCAATAAGATTTCAGTAATGCCAGTGACCTCATTTGTGGAAGTACAGGCAGTTTATTACCTTGTACATATCCAATCTGGGGATTATATCGGGCAAATGCGGTAAGAACTCTGAAAAGTTTGGCCTGGCCCTCAATAGCCTCGGGACGATCCCCCATCAGAGTGCGATGGGTCGGAAATGACCTTCCTATGTAGACAAATATGGAACGGAACTGCCACAACCTTTCAAAACTCTATATATAATGCAAAAGTTATAAAAAGAACACATACAAAAGGGCAAATGTTCAAGTTGGCCAATATAGAAGCGTTAGGCTTTTTGTAGCTCAAAAGGTAGAGCACGGTTTCAGAAACAACAAGGATAAGGGTCTGATTCCCAGAAAACAATCAAACTTTGAATGTATACCCTGGTGCACTTTGGGTAAAAGGGCCTGCAAAATGCATTAATAGAAGTGTAAATCAACATGGGAAGTGTGTTTAGGCAGCGCCCCCATGTGGTTTTCCGAATATTGGCCAAGTTCAAACAAAAACACTGCAATCAGTGAAAAATTACAGCTTCCTCTTAAAAGTCACAGGACATTTCACATTTTTTCATCTGAAAATGAGGCAGTAAAACAGTTTTTAGCTGTTCAGAAGTTTGGGGTCTGTAAGATTTTTTTTTTTTAAATGGTTCTGAAAGAAGTATGTTATGCTAACCAAATTTATGTAATAGAAAATACAGTAAAAACAGTAATGTTGTGAAATATTATATTACAATTTAAAACAACTGTTTTCTATTTGAATACATTTTAAAATGTAATTTATTCCTTTGATGGCAAAGTTCAATTTTCAGCAGCTATCGCCATTTAACAGCATTTATTTGAAATAAAAAATCTTTTGTAACAACATATATGTCATTACTGTCGCATTTGATCAATTTAATGCATCATTGCTTAATAAAAGTATTAATTAAAATTATTACATTTACATTTTAATAATTATATAATTTAAATTGAATAAAAAAAAACATCTTACATATCCCAAACTTAATATTATTTTTGACAACAATAATAAATAAGAAATATTTTTTGAGCAGTAAATCAGCACATTAGAATGGTTTCTGAAGGATCATGTGACTGAAGACTGGAGTAATGATGCTGAAAATAGCAAAGGAATAAATTATATTTTAAAATATATTGACATTGAAAACAGTTATATCAAATTGTAATAATATTTCACAATATTCCTGTTTTTACTGTATTTTTATCAAATAAATGCAGCCCAAGCGACTTCTTTCAAAAATATTATAAAATTGTACAGACTACATTTTTTAATTAATTAAAATAAAAGTACTCAAATATAGTACTCAACATAGTTCAGATAAGTGTACATTATAGAAAAATATCATGCAATTTCAGTGGACATCCAAAGGCAGAACTCACGTAGGTCGAGGGCGATCTGTTTGAAGAGTGTGAGGTCAGCACTGGGGAGATCCGACTGTCCGCTGCTGATCTCATTCTCTGTGTCCACTAGAGAGTCTATAGTAGAGATGATGCTGTACTCACTGACTCCAAGATCAACCAGAGGTCTACGGATCTCAGCCTGACATGCCTGGAGCAAATGGGTTAAAACAAGGCAAATGTCTCTGATTTGTTTGAATAATAATGACAAAAATAAATATATTGATGGGGTTGCACCTCATAATCAAAAGAGCTAGCAGCTCTGAGACTGTCGATATTTAGGAGGCATTTCCAAACTCGTCCACGTATTGCCGGAGGAATACCAATACGAATAAACCTCTCGATCTGATTTGGGGAAAAAGGAATGTGAAAATTATTAAACACATTGAGTAAATCATTTTAAATGCAGGGCTGGGCAAAATTCAGTATATAAGATTAGATTTTTAATTGATGAGCTGGAATTGGGTTTGGAATAACAGCAAGTAAAAAAAAAAACAAATCAACAGAAGAATGTAATTTGTCCAACACCAGTTTTGCTGTAAAGTCAATCATTTAGACTAAATATGAATATTCATTCTGATGTGTTCATTGATTTCTCTAAAGATCAGATTTTAAAGATTATACTTAAAGATGATGTACATTTTTGTGAATGCCACTATCAATCCTGAGTACCTACGTTAATACCCTGGGTAAACGTCAAAATATTTTAAGTCTTCTAGAGAAAGATGCACACCTGATTTCTGCAGATGAAACTGGATCCATTCCAGTAAGTGAGAAATTCACACAGCTCCTTCACTTTAACTGGATTAGGCTGAGGATAACTGATGAAAACAGTTAAAGATGCTCCTAATGTTTTAACGTTACTTGTCGAGTGCACATCACAGCATAGTGTTTATTCACGTGAAACTGAATTATATTTCGAGTTATGAAAATGAACTGAAAGCTGAAATAAATACATGAATTGAACACACAAACCAGGAAGTAACGTATAAGTGTTACCAATACTAGTATTTATGTATTAGTCAACATCTAACGTTACCTGTAGTCATGACATCTGTGTTGGAGTTTCCTGACTCTTTTCTTACTGAGAGCAAAGCCGAACTCATCGAAGCCTACAGAGCTGCTCCGCCGTGAAGTGCTGCTCTTCCCGCTGCTTGAGCTGCTCGCTCTCTTCAACATGATGGTTCTCTCAGGCAATCAGTTTGATTTCATTCTGCACGCGAGTCCTCTCATCTGCGCGCTGTACACTGACTGTAACCGACGCTTGAACTCAGCGCCAAGATGAACACAATCAAACTACTCTTCAAAATAAAAGTCTTGACTCTTGACTTTTTTTTCCAGTCTATGCTCTTGACATATATCGTAAGACAGTCACAAATAAAAAAATATATAAAATTATTGATATAAAAAAAATAATAATAATAAACTGTGTTAGACTTGACACATTTGAAAATGTAATCACATTATTTTATAACATATTTATGATTGGAATCTGCTTTCCTCTTGAGTCAGGATTGGTCAACTGGTGATATTATTCTATATTTCTGAGTCATTTACATCGCTCTGGGTGGCCGAGGACCCCCAAATATATAAGCAATATCACACGAGTAGAGTAGCCGTGCGATATGGCTCTATATCAGCACGGCTGTGGATGATGTGATTCGGCCGCAGACGACGTTGTATAAAGTTAGTTCTATGACATCATCATGACGTCATCGCGTTTAATGGTATTTTCATTTTTATGGTACTCAGTGAATATTCACCTTTTTTCAATTCATTCATTATTTAAGTCAAAATAGAGTCAATCCAAAATCCATGAATGGAGGCAGATTGGTGCCATCTGGTGGAAAGAAATGAAGAAAATCACCTGTAATACCATAATGGTTACTGAGAACCAAGTTTTTAGGGTTTTATATAACGTTCTTTTTTCGTTTGTTTAAAATGTTAATATGGTGCTTTTACATTATTAAAGTAAAAACATTTTGTTTCTCATATAATCAAAATGCATTAAATGTAACAAAAAAGAAATGGAATGTTTTATCAGAATTTAACCCATCTGGGACTGATCTATTTTAACCTCTTAGTTGAGTCTCTTGGCTCAATTTTGCAATATTGTTACACCCGCACCAGTTCATTTATGTGGCTATTTGTCTATTTTGTACTCTTGATGGTTTAGATTTTAACCTCATTGCTATGTGCTTTTTTTTTTTTTTGCATCGTGGCTGATTTGTGGACTGTACACCCAAAAATATTCTCTGTATTTTTTTATTTTTTTTTCATATTTCCCATTAATTTTCTATAGCGAAGAGTACAAGTGTGACTTTTTCTCTCTCTTGACATTTAGTTTTTTACAATCATGTACATTTTTTCTGCTCCGGCCAGTGCCACAAAAGGTACCAGGTTTCGTATTCATTCCGATGAAGTTACCATTTACCATTTTCAGTCAAAAGTGACCAGAGGGTTAATGACATTATTTACATTACACGTGGATTCATTAAATCCAGTGTGCTCTATTGTATACTGCACATTTCGTAAATGTCAAATATCGATACACCTCCATTATTGCACATAAAATGATTTCAAGCCACTCAAAGAAGTATTACTGTATTACTGTAAAATACAGTACAGGACATCAGAATAAACAGTTGATCAAAAACAAGCACTTTCTTCTGAACAGGCAGGAGAGGGCAGGTGTCCTTCAGTACCTGATAAAAAGGTAAACGGCTTTCAATACATTGACTTCAATAGTTGACTAAAAAGTTACAAATGAAGATCGAACTAACTTGATCTTTGAAAATTAAGAACTTTTACAGTGATTTGACATGCATTACTGTTTAAGGAACATAACCTTCTATCGAAGGCCTGCCTTGAGCAGGATTGGTGGGATTCCTGGAGTTACACAATAGATTCCTCAATGCCCTGTTCACTCTGTGGATCTGAGCCAACAACAGGGTTGGGGTGTCTGGGAACTCCTGAAGTACTTTTCTCATCTCTTTTTTGCTGGAATAGTCTTCCAGCTTCGAGCATAACCTCTCTCGAACCTGCTCTAAAGCCTGTAGTCCCATCCACAGAAGGTCCTTTTCCCTCTCCAAATCCTTCAGTTTTTTCACCTGCAAATATAAAAATATTTTGACATTTTTGCATGATAATCCGTGATTGTATTAGCGTTTGTGTACATACAGCTGCCTCAAAAAACAAAAACAGGTTTTCACAATTGCATTGTGCAAAGTAAACAAAATAAAAATAGACCACAATGTGTGTGTTAAGTAGCTGTGAACTATGAGTATTCCCATCGGAGCTGGATGGGAATGTCGTGATGAACTGTGATGGCTGACGTCTGTGTTGAGAATAAACTATTAGTTTGAAAGAAATACTGATGTAACTTTTATGGTACAGTTTTAAGATAACAGATAAACAACCTAAAATATACAGTTAAACCTGAATTAACAGCAGTACATACATCACTTGACTGAATTATGCTTTCAACCTTTTCTAAACAGTGTGAATGCTTAGTTTATCCAACAATATGGTCACTTCAATTATATTTGAATTACTTCAACTTGTTTACTAAAAGCATTGCTAGAAAACCCCCGATAGCATTACAAATTATAACAAACATAGATGAGAAAGCAAACTAACCCAGAGGAAGAAATGCACTGCATCCAGACTGGTAAGCCTGTTCCTGAGAGGGACAATGACCACTGTGTAAGATGCCATTGGAGTTGCTAAAGAAAGCAAAGCTTTACATTTGAGGTAACGAGGAGAGAAGCAGAGAGTAAGAGAGAGTGGAAGAACAGAGGCTGAGGATTTGCTGAAACTCCACCCTAGTGACAGAGCGGCAGGTCAAAGTGTACAGTTTGCACAACTACTAATGAAGAAATTCAAACAAAACTCTTCACAAACGCAAACAATAAAACTGTATTAAAATTACTTTACATATTGAACAAAAGCAAACACATAAAAAAACAGCTTTAAAATGAAACACTTTTATATGTAACTACTTTTCTAACTTTCACCGTATAACATTCAACATTCACGTAGTACAGTTCTGGCATTATCTGCCATAAAGCCATTTAAATCATTTGTCCATCTCTCTTTCTGTGCCGTTCTCGTCGTTCAGTGGGTATGGGGTGAGGTCCAGGGTGAGAAGACGGCTGAACATGCATTCATCAAACTGTGACGACAAGCAAAGAAAAAAAAAAGGGGTGCATGATAAATGAGAACAGTTAGGCATGAATCAAAAAGCATCCAAAATTTGAAAAGACTCTTATTAAAAAATGTTAAATAAACTTGATAAACAAGTTTAATTTCTGTGTTGATGTACTTCCTGCAAAAAAAGGTAATAAATGTATAAAAAAAACATTATTTTCAAATATTATCATATGTTGGTGCATTACCTAAATATATTGAGCCATATTGTAAGAAAAAGGTGGTTACTTTGAAAAAGCTCATACATTAAGAGTTTGGATTTCATTTCATTTCATTTCAAATTAATAGTTTTATTCAGCAAGGACATATTAAATCGATCACACGTGACAGTAAAGACATTTATAATGTATCAAAAGATTTGTTTCAGATAAATGCTATACCTTTGAACTTTCAATTAATTGATTCTTTAAAAAATGCATCTTACATAATAAAAGTCATTTTAAAGATATGCCTCTAGTTTTAATCAATTAAACAAGCCTTTGAAGTTTGGGCAAAAACTTCTGGCAATGATGTGTTTTCTTGTACTTTATTTTTTTCACAGCGCTGAATGTCATTCGGTAATTGTGAAACAGAACACCTTACTTATATGATTTTATGGTAAAATGTGTTATTTTTCATGCTATTTTGAACAAGAACAATGCACTGTGGCTTAAATTCAGCACGAGAGACAGCAAAAATAGACTTGGCACTGAAACGATGGCAGCACTGCCGTTTCTGCTCTGCTTGCAGTGTGAATGCTCTAATCTGATAACATGGGCGGCGTAACAAATATGCACTGCTTACGCGTTCAGTGTGAAACAGGCCAGAGAGATGCTTCACGAATTGAGTTCTCATTTGCATCTTATCACCCTTCAATGGTTTTAAAGCACTTGAATGATGATAGCATGATCATTTAATGTAACACATCCAAAGGATGCCAGGAAAAAAACAGACACTGTGTTCATTTTAGTTTGAGTTTGATTTTATGGGGACTCTAAATGGACCATGAGTGATGAGGTTGATGTGATACAGTGTGGATGTGTGTATACCGAAGAATAGACTCCAAGAAGAGCGTCTGCCCGCGAGTAGAACTCTTCCTTCAGGGAGATCACAATGATCTGGCAGCTTTCTCTGGACATCATCCGGAAAAATCCTGTAACCTGAAAGGAAACAATGTCTTTCTATCATGGCAAATAAAGAATATCAAAACAGCACGTTTTTGAGACATTGAGGCTGGTCTTTACCTTGCCAATGTTTGTGTTGTCCAGGGCAGCATCCACTTCATCCAGCACAAAGAACGGGGCAGGACGAAAGCTAAAATTAAACAACAATGATCTTTACAGTTTTCTCCCACATCTGTATTTATAGTCAGATATTACTTTACAAGAAGTTTGTTTATGTGCTTATGCTGTTTTTCCACCTGTGAATGGCAAAGACCAAAGCGAGAGCAGCGATGGCCTTCTCTCCTCCTGACAAGTTGTCCATGGCCATGAATCGTTTCCCAGGAGCCACACAGTTATAGTTGATGCCGTCCAGGTAAGGGTCATATGCGTTCTCAGCGCTGAGAATGGCCTAAAGGACGTGTGTAAAAACAAAGTTTCATACAAAAATAAAAATGAATGAACAAGTCATTGAAGAAGTGAGTCAAGCATGGACCTGAGCGCTGGTGTTTCTGCAGAGCTTCTTGTAGATCTGGTCGATGACGATAGACACATGTTCAAAGCACTGATTAAAGAGTTGGAAGCGTTTGGTCTTCACTTGCTCAAACTCCTGACCGCATTTCTTAGTAGTATGTGCGCTGGTCTCAAAAGCTGAGGGTTTTTGAGTATGGAGAGGTAAAAACACACAAACATGATCAATGTTTTATGTGATTGATGGATGTGTTACGACAATAAATTTAAACCCAAAAAGGGTTATTATAACAAACTAAAACTAACCATAGATCATCTCAAAGCAAACAGACATGGACTACCTAGGCAACTAAAAATGTAAAATGTAGAAGGTTTAATAGAGGGGCTATTTCAGGAGTAGTCCCACTCCCCACCATGAAATGTATTCATATTTGTCTCGTACCATCCATGACTTCCCGGTAGCTGTCCTTAACATCTCTGATCTTTTCTAGAGCTTTCAGGTTGGGAGCTCTAGACATCATGATCATGGACTCCAGAGAAGAGACGCTTTCTTTGAGCTTCTCCAACTGAACCTCCAATTCACTCTCATCAGTGAGGGCCTACACACACAATAAATCAAAATCACTTCTACAACTAGGGCTGTCGCGGTGAAGGAATAATTTGTCGTTTAATGAGATCTAATATGTCGTTGTTGGCGAGAATTTTCACGTGAAGAAATACATAGATCCGACAGTTACATGCATGCACTTTAATGGTCCAGTGGCAGAACTTTTGCCAAGCGTGTCAGAGGTTCTGGGTTCTAATCATTCATCCCCACTCGTATAGTTTTTTGTTTTTTCTCTCTCATTAAAACCGATTATGTTTATCAGTGGTTGTATATCAAGCAGGGACATATTTGTGTGCATTTTACTTTGTGATTTCACCGGAACGAATAGAGAGTCTCCGCAACGGATTAAAGAGCACGTCCGAGTTCAAAATTGGTGGGGACAATATCGACCATGGCAAAAAGTGGTTGGGACATGTCCCACCCGTCCCACCCGCAAATTACACCTATGCCTATGGTTATAACCGACGTTTGAAACACTGCAAATGCGTCTGCCAAATGAATAAATGTAAGAATAGACTGATATGTCCCACATTGGAGTGTTCTTCAGGAGCTTTGCAGTGAATGTAGTAGCCATAGACTGTAAAAAGTAGCCTAGTCTGCCAGTCGATCTTGTAACATTACGGATAGCTAATGGGCCTTTCACACAGGACGCGGAAAGCGCTGCGCTATGAAACCCATTCATTTCAATGGCTTGCGCCGCGCGAAGACGTTTTGTTGCTGCGTCGACCAAAGCGCAAGCGCAGCGGTGCGCAGCTCGCGCGCATGCCACGGTCAAAGTTCAAAATAGTTCAACTTTTGCCACTGCGCTCTGTGACGATTACCAGCGCGGCCAATAGAAACGGGACATCCAAACAAACACGGAAATCAAAATGGATGAACGGCTAGCACTGTGCACGGGACAGATACATAGTTTACTGCTGACCGAAAGGAGGAACAAAAATCTAAATAACTAACGTTATTATACTGACGTGTAGAACTCCCGCTTAAAGTTTTTGAAAACTCCGCCTACTTTGCTCTGGCATAGCGCAGCGCAAATCACGTTGTATCTGAATAGCACCGCTGAACCCAGCGGCCAGCGCAGCGCATTCCGCGTCCTGTGTGAAAGCCCCTTAAGGCCCCGTCCACACTACTGCGTTTTCATTTAAAAACGGAGACCTTTTGCTACGTTTGCACCTCCCGTCCACACTAAAACGGCAAAAACGGAGACCCAAAACGGAGAAGTTTAGAAACGCTGCCGACCCGTTTTTCGTTTTGAATCTCCGGAGGGCGTTTTAGTGTAGACGGGTCAAGACGGAGGACTTTAGAAACGATGACGTAGTAGAGGCTCACGCTCGGCTCTATGATTGGGTGTCATCAGTCATGGCGTATATCTTTGCTAGCAGCTGTTGTACAAGTAAATTCTGCATTTTACAACGCTATAACTGCCTACATGCGCCGGAGTCAAGCTATTATTCGAGCGATCTGTGACAATTCCCGTGTGCAGCGGCGGCGTTGACCGTACATGGAGGGTCGGTTTGGGGTTAACCCAGAGCATGGTGGGATAATTTAATCAATGAAGTTGTGTTTACACCGGCACGCGCATGCCCAGTGTTGGTGAATGGTCACGTGATCCGCGTTTTCAGTCGTTTTAATGTGGACGGAGATCAATTCTAATATGCAGCTAAAACGCTGGTGTGGACGGAGATCGTATTCGTTTTAATTATCCGTTTCTAAACTAAAACGCAGTAGTGTGGATGGGGCCTAAGGCTGCTTGGCTAAAGAGGCGCGTCCACCAGCCGGCTCAGTCTCACAAAAAGCCCGCCCTTTTACCCATATATGGATTGGCCAAAAGGGGGGCGGGGTTAGGATTTCCCAAGATTTTCAAAAGATGGCGCCGCCCATACCCCCCATAAACGGCCTCAAAACCGCTATTCAGAAAATCTATGGGTGACGTCACAGACGCTTGGTCCATTTTTTTTAGTCTATGGTCACCACGCAGTTACATTGTTACGCCACTAGATAGCGGCAAGGGACTGTCTTTGAGTGAGTCGTTAAACCGTTCATTCAACAAACACGTTCAAAAACGCTGATTCATTAAAAGATAGATGTAATGAAACAAGGTGTTATTATTTTAACTTTGAGCTCCACTTTTCAAGGCTCAGCTGACCAGCAATGCGTCGCATGGGTAACGCTGAAGCTTCACTAAATAGAGACCAATGGCATTGATTCAATGCATTGACCAGCGCTGCCGCCATTCATGGTAAATACCCTTAAACGTTAAAAGGATGAGACGTCAAATATTTTGCTTTCCTTGGACTCAGCAACCTTACCTAACCTCACCACAAATATATGACTTGACCTCAAAGACAGAGGCAGGTAATCGCACGCGCTCAGTCGATCTCTCTCATTCACTGTCTGTTTAGGCTTGTTAAGTGCAAATCCACAAAGCCTCTGTATAAATCACCATGATAAACAGTCTTGTTATCATTAACATTATCATTTAACATTAAAAATACACATGCATTAAGTTCAAAACAAGAAGGGTATAACCTTATGAAAAAAGAAAACACGCGAATACTGCAGTTGCTGTGGTTACTTGCATTCCTCTGCGGTTGGCTTGTCAGAAGCGCGTTACTACAATATTACGGTTATTGCGACAACCCTATCTACAGCATAAGAATGACCGCTCTGAGTGAGACTGCTTTAATGTCATGTTTTCACCTTAAGGCCCTTGTCCAGTGTTGAATAGTCAAACATCAATTGCGCTTCTCTTTCATAAATATCCAATGTGCTGATGCTCTGAGACTCTGAGTCCAGCTGCAATAAAGTTAGAGGACACTTAACAAGCAGAATAAGAAAAATACAAAAGGGAATATAATCTGTGCTGCCTTATTTTGAGTAGATCTGACCCTCTGTTTGCACCTGTATGTCACTGATGTCATCCAGCTCTCCTGAAATCAGTGTCAACGGTAGGTTGTCTATCTTACAGCCCAGCAGCAGGTTGTGTCTGCTCAGTCTCAGCTGTTCTAGGGCTGCCTCAGCACAGATCGTTTCCTTCTGAAGCTTCATCAGCACCCTGCAGACAAAAAGGAGAAATAAATCAAATAAATAACACCAACTATTAGCATCTTTTTTTTTTCTCAGATCAACCATTATCATGCTCAGATACCCACTTGTTTCTCTCCTGGGAGCCTTTAAGAGTCTTGTCAACCTCTGTCTTGGCATCGTTAACTAAAGTTGTCTTTTCTGACAGCTGGTTGTTCAGTTCTAGGAGATTTGATTGTGTCTGCTCCACAGCTATCAAAAGTCTGTCCTCCACCTGGTGGAGATGTGGGGAACAGACAGCAGTACTTCAAATATAAAAACCAAACATGTCAGAACCTTTTTTTTTTACATAACCAGCTCAACATGACACTATTAAACAGAGTAAAAAAAAAAGATAAATGTAGTCAAAATGTTAAATGTTGTGTCTCAAAAGTGGAGTGAGTGAGTTTGCCTCTTTCAAGCTAATAACGATGTTCTCCTCTATTTCGATGGTCTCTTCTGTCTTCTTCATCTGTTTGACGAGTTTCTTCAACTGAGCCTGCTCGTAATCTAGCTGGATACTTAGGCGGGTGTGCTGGGACTCAAACTCCAGGCTGGACAATCAGGAGATTTATTTAGCCAGATTTAGTTCACATTATATTTCATGCCATAATGTACAAATGCACTAAGCTGTCTGTGATGACAGTGATAACATGGGTAGGAATTGTTTGTGCAGGTCTTACCGCTTCTTCTCAAGCTCCTGCTGCAGTCGCAGATAATCCTGCTCATACTCACGGATGTTAGCCACACCGATCACTACGCAGAAGTCCGCAAACACCACGTCCTCCATCTAAGATGAGCAAAATCAACCCACAAGACAGCTTAGCATGGAGAAATGATATTGACCAATACACTTTTTTAAAGAGATTGTCTAAATACTGTAAAACTATCATTTCAGCAGTTTAGTGTACATTTGTGCCACCTTGCTGTCATTATTGGCATGAGTAACTAAAAAAAGCTCATATTGAACAACTTTAAATTCCTTGATATCTCCTAGTTTTCCATGACCACGGAAAACCTCAAGAGATCATGTTACACTTAAATCAATTGACCTGGTGAATTTTGTCCCTGATGGCCTTCATCTCATTATCCTTTAGTTCTACATTCTCAGTCTGTATCTCAAACTGGGCCTCGAGGTTGGAGAGCTCACTCCTGAGTTTGGAAATCTCCTAAAGTTCATACACACACACACACACAGATTTCATTAGAGAATTAGAGATGTTTAAATGTCATGCAACAATGGAGGAGGGGAAAGAAAAAAGAAAGAGTGTGACTTGCAGCCTGACAAGCTGGGATGCTCTTCTTGCGTATGGAGTCCAGTTCTGTGTTGGAGTATTTGAGGCGAGTCTGGTTTCCCTGAGACTGAGCCCTGATCTGCTTCAAATCCACTTCCTTACGCTTCAGCTTCATCAGGGCCTGCACATACATCAACAGTATTAGCCTGCAATATAACACTATGACATGATAAAGAGAAAGTTAATCTCTTCCATACTAATACGAATTTTTCATCTAAGTAGCCACGCCCACACTGAAATCTCATTGGTCCAAAATCCTGCTATATATTAAACATTAAATTCATGCTGACTAGTTGTGATTTTCATTGCATTAAGAAACAAAACCACAACTAGTCAGCATGTACTTAAAGTTTAATATATAGCAGGATTTTGGACTTTCAACATGATTTTCGGTTTTTATTGCATGTCTGCCATCGCACAGGTATCTATAGTGTCTATTAGCAATCTGGGACACTTACACGCATCTCGGATGACAGCTTATCCTTCTCCTCCTTCAGTTTATTCATATCCTTCTCATCCCAGCGTCGAGCTTTCTTGCTTAGGTCCAAGGAGCCTCCGGAGATCACCCCAGACTTGCGAAACAAGGTGCCGTCAAGAGCCACCGTCTAAACAATACATTACACAAGTCATAGATGTACAGGAAAACTGTAAATGTAATCGACCTGGAACGATGATGTAATCTTTATGGCATACAGGTGCATGTACTCACCTGAAGGCGCTCAGGGCCATCGAAGGCAATGCGACGGGCGCCTATCAGAGAGTCGCAGACCAGGGAGTTTCCGCACACAAACTGAATCACCCTCTTAAGCTGAGGGGCGTTTTGAGCGCACTGAACCACATCCACCACCATCTTGGCTCCCTGCACTTCCCTCAGACGCTCGTTCAGAGGGTGTACCTGATGCGCATACAGTTAAAGAACACTCTTTGCAAATCCAACCATATAAAAAGCTGTTTAAGTAAATAAAAAATAAAGCAAAATAATTCATTATGAAGGGCTTTCACTGATGAGTCACTCACATCTATATAGTCAATAGGAAGAAATGTCTCTGGTTCGGCTCTTTCCTCTTTCAGAAATCGGATGCAGTCATGAGCCACTTTGGCAGACGTCACAATAATAGCGTTCATGTTCTTGCCAAACAGCTTGGTGACGGCGAGCAGGTATTTCTTGTGGATGGGCTGGCACAAGTCCACCAGACGGCCATACTGAAATGAGTTAAGAAACCAACAGAAGTTTCTAATTTGAAAGAAGTCTCTTATGCTCACCAAGGCTGCATTTAATTAATCTAAAATACAGTAAAATCAGTTCATTTCAATTATACAAATATTTCATTATATTACTGTATTACATTATATTACTTTTTTATATATTTAAATGTTTTATTTATTCCTTTAATGGCAAAGCTGAATTTTCAGCATCATTACTCCAGTCTTCAGTGTCACATGATCCTTCAGAAATCATTCTAATATGCTAATTTGCTGTACCAGAATCATTAATAATTATCAATATGGGAAACAGTTCCTGCTTATTTTTGTGGAATCCCCCCTTATTGATGTTACTGTCAAAAAGGAAAATATTTCAAATTACATCACTTTCCATAATTTCTTGCAATGCTTCAATCTAACAGATGACAAAAAACATAAGGGGGCATTAGGGGGCTGTGTAAGCTGATTGTTACAGTACCACTGTATCAGGGTAGAGTCTCCTGAGGCTTTCAAGGACTTCGTCTCGTTTCTGCTGTCGTCGATTCTCTTGGCTGTCCAGCCGAGCGTTCTGCAGCTTGGTCAGCACCTGCGCGAGCTCCTCGTTCACCTCCTCCCTTCGTATGAAGCCTCTCGACAGCTCCTCTGCCAGTTGCTCCTCCTGCTGACACTGCTCCTCCAGAGCTTTCCTTCAGAAAAATGAGTAAGATGTGACTGACAGTTCAACTGAATAATGTTACTCAATAAAAAGAAACACAATTCAGTTACAGCAATGTTATTTTTGTAAAATAATACAATAACACAAAACAAATCTTAATCACATCTATCTTAATCACAAGCTCTATAATGTCCGTTCTTATTAGTGCAAAGGGATTTAAGTGTGTCATACTTAGTAGTGCTGGCATACTCCTCCAGCTTCTCTGCCCTTCTGATGAAATCTTCCATCCGAGTTTGAGAGTGTTTAATATTTGCCTGCAAACAAACATTTATATCATGAAATAAATCGCAGGGCTCAGTGCTAAGGATTTCTTCTACAAGCCCACATTTTTACTTTTTACTGGCCCCACCACAAAAATAATAAATAAATAATATATATTTTTATTTATGTTCCCCAATGATAGTGGCTCCCGGGCATGCTGAAAACCAGCTGTTATTACAAAAATATCCAGCCCAATCTAAAGTGTAGGAATTTTTTTAACAGAGACCAATTAAAATGCTGCTCTGTACACTCTGTAAAACCGAAATGGCAAAGCACAGCAGCACAACCTTTATGCAGGGGCATCTGAAAAGAAAGAAAACATCCCGGGGCTCTCTTACCTCAAAACGACGTGACGGCAGTGTAAGTATTTGGACTATTACAGTGAAATTTTACACAGCAATAGAATACTGTTGTCAGCCTCATATTTTGTGCTTAATACAAATGTGCATGGTTATCATATAGATGTGCATTAGGGGTGGAACGGTACATGTATTCGTATTGAACCGAAACGGTACGGGCGTCACGGTTCGGTGCACGAATTTGCACGCAGAATACACGGTACAAATAAAAAAAAAAAACTCTTAAATAGCGATAAATTTCGCTCTATTCGCTTTTGGTGTGACTGTTAACGCAGCAATGAACAGGCTGCGATCAAGATTGCAATGCAGGAGTGTGTGTGTCTGTGTGCGCGCGCGAGAGAGAGAGAGAGAGAGAGGCGCGATGAACAGTGTGTGTGTGTGTGTGCGAGAGAGAGAGAGGCGCGATCGAACAGTGTGTGTGTGTGTGTGCGCGCGCGTGCGAGAGAGAGGCGCGGGCGCGAATCGCGCGATGAACAGTGTGTGTGTGTGTGTGTGTGTGTGTGCGCGCGCGCGCGAGAGAGAGGCGCGGGCGCGAATCGCGCGATGAACAGTGTGTGTGGAACAGTGTGTGTGTGTGTGTGTGTGTGTGTGCGCGCGCGTGCGAGAGAGAGAGAGAGGCGCGGGCGCGTTTTGCGCGATGAACAGTGTGTGTGTGTGTGTGTGTGAGAGAGAGAGGCACGGGCGATCGAACAGTGGAAACGTAAAAACATACTCCGTCATTTTTTTCATACAGGACATCATTAAAACTGCAAATTGTTTACTTATATTTGTGTACACTGGCAATAAAACACAACATTGTGCTTTTGTCACACTCTTAACTCTTGTCAAACTGTAACCTACAACTGTTAACAAAAGTTTTTATGGTAGTATTATTTTATACGGAAATCAATTATTTATAATTCAGATGAGAATAAAGTTAGTTAATTAAAATGAAGGAAAACAAATATCTTGATCTGAAATAGCAAATTAATTTTAAATTCATTCAGGTACAATTACCAAACATATTGCAAGGTCTTTTTGTCTTTTTATTAATTTAATTAATACACTAATTATATAAAACTATTGTCAGTGCACTACAAATAAACTGGTTCTATGCCTTTAATAATAAAACTTATTAAAAAATACAATGCCTTCTGCATTTTTGTTTTGCTTTTCCCTCCATTGTACCGAAATCGTACCGAACCGTGATTTCTGAACCGAGGTATGAACCGAACCGTGACTTCTGTGTACCGTTCCACCCCTAATGTGCATGGTTATCATATGATCATATTATAGCTGAATGAACATAACATTAATCTCCTGAATTAACAAAACATTTCAGGATTTATACTTGTAAGCAGTTGCTGCTGTAAATCCCCCAAAAATCATTAGGTAAAAGTTCATACATAGATTAGTTACGGATATTATTTATTTGTAAACATTTGGTTATTATTTATCGGTAAATCGGTATTTATTCAGAATCAATAGATTAAATGGAAGCGAAAAAATACGGTAATCGTTCGATCAATCTAAAAATCTATAGATTAGATTAATCGATTGAAAAAATAATCGTTTGTTCCAGCCCTAGTTCAAATATTAAAGACAAGTAAACAGAGTTACTGTACATCACAATATTGCAAAAAGACACTCACATAAACACAGAAGCCTACCTGTATCTCACTTTTCCTCCTCAGGTCAAACTGAAGCTTCTCACGGTCTGCTTTTACCTCCCAGTGCAGCTTCTCAGCGCTTTGGTTTAAAATCGCTCCCTTTTTCCTGGCCAGCTCTTTGAGTTCCTTATACCGCTCCATCTGTACAAAGTCAAACAGTGTGTAACATCATATATCTTAATGTTTTACAGTCAACATATTAACAAAATTGGCCCTATTTATGACCCTAAAATTTCTAATCGAAACAGCTTCTATTCTGCAGATATAACGAATGCCCTGTCAGCAAGAAAAAATATCAACCAATGTCACTTTTTTTGTTGTTGTTACAATTCAATACAGCCCCAATGGATAAAATCAAGTCCACCTCTACTTTATTTCAGTGACTATTATTTTCCAATGCAATTATGTTGTCCTTATAGAGAGAATGTTCACAAAACACTGATTTTAACCTGGGCCTCCTCTAGTTGCACTCCGTCTCCTCTTTGAGCCCCCTCCTCCTCCATCTGCCTCTCAGAGACCGTCCAGGCCTTCTCCAGCTCAGTCAGCTCTCCCTTCAGCTCCTCAAGCTCCTGCTCCTTTTTGGCCTGCTGACTCCGGTTCTTCTGAAGCGATCTGCGCGCCTCCTCCACTTTGTGCTGGTGGTGGGAGGTGTTCACTTTAGCTTTGATGTACTGAGGCCTCTGCTGATTAAGAGTCTGCTCCTGAGATCTGGAAGAACAACATTCATATAAAATAATATTTAAAAAAATTCTGTAGCCATTACTACAAGTATATTTTACTTTAAATATTAAATATATTATAATATTATTTAAATATTTATGTTTGTGTGTGTATATATACATGTAATGTATATATATTTATTGACTAGGTCAAATGTTATGTGTGCATTTATATTATAAAAATTATATTATAGAAATGAAATTGTTATATATATTTGAAATGTTAAATATAATTATTTGAATAAACTATTTAAATATTTCTTTTTGCGTTTTATATATATAAATGTAATGTATATAGATGATGAATACTAATTATAACAATACAATTGTGTATATATATATATATAATAGGGCTGTCAACAGATTACAATTTTTAATCACACCATATAAAATTAAGTATACACCATTTTTCTTGTTTAATACGTTTATTAGGCTCATTTGAGATGTGCCACGCCTCGTCTGAAATGTAGGCAAGAGTAGGCGGCTGCAGTGAGGGGAGGACTGAAAAAAGTGCAGGCAAGAAGGACAGTTCTCCTTTCTCATAGTGGATCACAGCTGCGAGATCAAAGGCAAATATCACAGGATTCACTCATGCTAATGAACTGGATATAATTTAGGTTCTGTCTTCTGTTGCTTTTATATGAAAATAAATATGACGAACAAGACACCCAAGGTACAAGTAATTCCATTCGAAAAACATGTGTATCATAGTTTTTTTTTCTTTTGAAATATGACAACAAACACATAACTCATAGCAAGATCACACTGTCAGAAACATGAAACAGTATCAAAAACATGATACCAGAGTTTTAAAATGAAACATTTTAAAAGAGAACAATTGAACAATATATCACTGTTGTTTCAACCCATGAGGACTAATCTGTGCGATTTCCCATCATGCTTTTGGTAACAGTAACATTCTCAGGTGCCAGAGCAGCCCTCTGCTTGTGCACTATGAGTCCTGCGAGTGAAAATAGTCTCTCACACGGCACAGTTGAAGCAGGAGTTGCAAGATATTTCAGTGCAAGAGTCACCAGCTTGTCATGACATTTGCTGTGTGCACACCGCTATTGTAAAGGGCATTGTTCAAGGCTTATGTTGGGCACTGCTCTATATCTAGCAAGAGGGCTGGATTCCAGTTATGTTTCATCATCTGACTCTGTATCAGAGCCCAACTAGAGGAGATCAAATTTCTTTATTGGTAGCTCTGATTCAGCATCTGAGTGATGTGGAGCCAGGGTCTCTTTAAGAATATTGTCTCATGTTTCCCAAACTCCAGCTCTTTCTACTTTAGGAATGCATTTCAAGTTTTTGAATCTGGCATCAAGAGCTGTTGCTATTTTGAGCTAAGCAATGTTTGTGTTTTCCATGCGCTTACGCCGCTTAGCCAAATCCCCTTTAAATGCATCCTTAAAGCGCACAATATAAGCAGGATCATCTTCTGAAACAGCCATCTTCTGTGACAAGTGGTAAAGTGCAGGTAACACAACAGAACAGGAAACATTTTTCACCAGCAAGAAGTTATACCTGCATAATAAACACACAAAAACACAAATCCAATTTATTCAAACAAGTGCCTACAGTACACACACACACACCAAAAAACACATTCCATCTACAGGAACACTTCACACAAGGATCCATCTGTTAACATTGGTTTTAGTTCATTTTAATTTCAACATTTACAAATACATTTTTAAAATTAAGGGTATAAGTATTATTTAAACAAAATTAAACAATGAACAAAGATTAATAAAAAATAAGCAATAGCTAATAGTTGATATTGATTATAGTTAAAATAGTTAATGCATTAATATTGATGAATAGGACCTTATTGTAAAGTGTTACTCTCTCCATGAGCTAGTCTAAATATATACAGGACATGTTTTAACAGCATAAAATAAATCATAAACACTGGCTAAAAGATAACATCACCACCAAATAAAATGAAGTACCAACCTGCATTATTCCAGTAGTTTCTCCAGCCTGGCAAGATTATCATTCTTGAGGGTGGAATGCCACCTTGTGGAAACATCCGTCCTTCGGATGAGACGTTAAACCGAGGTCCTGACTCTCTGTGGTCATTAAAAATCCTTAATGGATTTTGTCCCTAATGGTAATGTCCTTCGAAAAAGAGTAGGGGTGTAACCCCGACATCCTGGCCAAATTTGCCCCTTGGCCTCTGTCCATCATGGCCTCCTAATCATCCCCATATATATCAATTGGCTTCATCACTGTCTCCTCTCCACCAGTAAGCTGGTGTGTGGTGGGCGTTCTGGCGCAATATGGCTGTCGTCGCATCATCCAGGTGGATGCTGCACATTGGAGGGGGTTGAGGAGATTCCCCCTTCCATGTAAAGCGCTTTGAGTACCCAGAAAAGCGAAGAGGCATGACGATTACCGTCTGTATAATGTGTGCTATACAAGGCATGTGCCCGCAAGGAAACAACCTAGATGCAGCAATCATGTTCCTCGTGCGTTCTGTACCAACAGTAGTGATCTTGCTCTCTATCTCTCACTCCACCACTTTCATGAACTATTCAGCGCAGGCATCAGGAAAATGTCTTTCTTCGGTTTTCAGCAGAGTTAAAGCAAATTATGCCAGTCTTTATCGATTAATTGTAGATTTTAGATTGCCATTATAGATCACACCGATGAACTCCCACGATCATCTAACTAAGTGACGTCAATTATGTCAATGACACAATTTCGATTGCTTTAGTAATTTATTTGCGGTTTAAAATATTTTAACGCATTAAGGACTTTGAATTAGTCGCATGCGTTAAAGTCGACAACCCTAATACAAGAATTATATTGTTTAAAGTAAATAGCTTCACATGTATATTTTATTTTAAATATCTAATATATTAAATAATGATATTATTAATTCATATATTATATAATAGGTAAATTGTTAAATAAATATATATATATATATATATATATATATATATATAAAACATTACTTTATAAAAGCAAAACTTTATATTAAACATTACTTTATACAATTTTAAATAAATAAATTATAAAGTTTTGCTTTTATAAAGTAATGTTTTATATATATATATATATATAAAACATTACTTTATAAAAGCAAAACTTTATAATTTATTTATTTAAAATTGTTTTTTTTAATGAAAAGTATTGTTAAATGCAAGAATTAACAGTATAATTTACTTTTGTTCTCTCTACATTCAAAGACATTTCCAGTTAAAGTACATTGCCAGTGACTTGCCTGATCTCCTTCTCCAACTGCTGAAGTTCTCGGTTCAGGCGCCCATGTTCTTTCTTCTGAGCCTTCACAGTTTGTTCCCAGACCTCTAGGCTGTTCTTCTGCTGCGTTGCGGCCTCCTGTGCGTCCCTCAGTTTTTCTGACTGTGCGTTTATGTTTTTCTCATTGTGGAAGAGATGAAAGAGGGCCAGCTGGAGTTTGCTTTCTCTGAGTTCGTCCACCAGTGTCTGATATTTTTCCGCCTGAGAAGATCGAGATAAATACATTGTCAAGGAGATGCTAATTTATGAAAATATTTCGACATCTGACAGGTCTTACCTCAGTCTTATCTTTGAAGACTTGTTTCTTCTCAGCTGTAGCCGCTTTCTTCCGGTTAAAATGGAACTGGGTGTCCTCTTTGGCTTTCTGCAGGACCGCTAGCTTGGCATCATATTCAGCTCTCAGCTCTCCAGAGTTGCTGATTCGTTCAAACATCTTTGTTCGCTCTTTGGCATTCATCATGGCAATTGACTCCACAGCACCCTGATATACAAATAAATCTATGATTAGTGTAAGAATAAAGAAAAACTATTAATAAACAATTAATCAAATGCTGATAACCAAATGCTACAGCATTTGTTGACCATTTTATCACTGAAGCACCTGATACACCAGACAATTCTTCGCTTTCACCACAATGCCGATCTTCTCTAGCTCTCCAGTGTACTTCGCTAAAGTCATCTGTTTACCATTCACATGATACTCAGAAGATTCCCCTATAAAAAGTGAATTGTTCCATCAGAAAATCATTCAGTTCGGTTTTACCTTAAACTTCTAGCAGAGCTCAATCACACTCACCTGAAATGCATCTACTGTAGGTAATTTCCTCATTGTCTCTACAGTAGATCATGGTCACACTGGCGAACGTCGACACAGGTTTGCCGATGTGGGCACCATGGATGAGATCTCTGGTGTGCTTCACACGGAGGTTGACCGCCCTCTCTCCCATCACGAATCCAAGAGCATCCATGACATTAGATTTGCCTACAGAGGAGATAAACAACCATCAAAAGTGTTTCAATAACACTCACTAATCCATACTGATGATGCCTCCTTAACATTTTAGCATGAAAAACATCTACATGAAGTTAAAATGTACCACATTAAAGTGGTGGTAACATGGCAACATTATGGTATGAGAAGATAGTACCATGGTATTTACATGATATTCTAACTATACTAGACCAGACTATATGACATAATACGCCATTTAAAACTTTAAATATGCATGTCCCTTGGACTGGTGGTTTTATGGTAAAATTATGGTATGAAAAGATAGTAACGTTACCATGGTATTTAACGTTACATGATATTCTTACTATACTAACGTTACACCAACGTTACACTATGATATAATCATAGGATATAAGTTAATACGCTAGGCCTATATATAATACTATAAATATCTAACGTCTCTTAGACTGGTTGTCTCTTAGATAACTGGTACGCTTTTAACAAATTATATGTTTTGGCGACATTCATATTATTGATATTTATCTAACAGTTAGCTGCTAATCGCTCTCTTTCCCATAAAAAAATGACGCTGATAACTGACAGGAATCGACACCTTATAAATGAATGTAAGTTATTGTTAACGTTTAACATGTTTAAAAACGCATGTATCACTCAAAGCATCTAAATAAAGAACGTTATTTGGCGAAATTATTAATAATTAGATTGGCGTCGCGCTAGTGGCCAAAATACAGTCGCGGTTTTGTCAGATTAGCCACGCAAATTAGCTTAATTACCAACTCACCTGATCCATTAGTGCCAATTATGCAATTAAACCTTTTAAATGGGCCGATCGTTTGCTTTCCTCTCCAGGATTTGAAATTTTCCACGTCTAGTTGTTTTAAGAAACCCATGTTTCAGTTCTAGATGAAAAAGGCAACTTGGTTTACTCGAGTTAAGTTACTGACAGGAAAAAAGGGAAGGCGGGAAAACTGCGTCATGATGCTGAATCTGCTGATGAAATCACCTCGAAGAGAAATAAAGACTTTAGATGCATTTAATTCTTCCGAAAAAATAATTGTCTAATTTTTATAAAGCAACATATCAGAAATCAAATTAATTAGAATTAATATATAATTTAATTGAAATAAAAGTTTTCAATAAAGTCACGAAGAAATGTATGTATTTAGGCATAGTTATGACCTGTTTATCTGTCCCGACTCCCAAGGTGTATAGAATACTAATAAAATAACAGCCAATTTTATAAATCTGCCAATTACGTTTTTGATAACAACAACACAACCTAATAAAAATATTATAAAGTAATTAAGGCAAAATAATAATAATACTGTGACAGGGTAAACATGTCACCATATAATTGCAAAATATGTTGTGATCAACATTTAACCACATACTTATTGAAAATAACCACGACTTCAGCAAAGGGTGTGTAGGACTTTTATTTAAGCTTCAACATATTTTCACATTTCTCTCAATAAGTGTGATCACGAACGTATCCCATAATGTATTTGAGACCAAGCCAAGTCTCCTCTGCAGTGGGAATGATCTGGTTGGCAGGCAGTAGGAAACCGTAGAAGCCAGTGTCACGCAGCTCAAATGCAAAGGAATATTTGATGCCAATATTGTAGGTCCAATCGATGCTTCCACCACTTGCTGGGTCTGAAATTTAACAGGCCGGTATTCCCAATCAGATAACAGAAGTCATATCTTGGTATTCAAACAGAGCATAAAGTCTACTTACAGATAATCTTGCAGATGCTTCCGACTTGGTATCTGGTGTTATAGAGGGAAGTGAGCTCTTTTATCGCAGCTGTGCCTACAGCATGCTACAATACATAAAAACAATACATTGTTTTTATTTGTATAGCACCATCATGAAATGCAGCTCAAAGTGCTTCACAGGTCATAACATAAAAAACGGAGTAAATTATTAGTAAGAAGAAAATAAAAGTCATAGAAAATTATAAATAAATAAATCGGATGAGATTACATAAGACAAACCAAAGTAGAAAACTGTTGTGGTATTGTAGTATATTGATAAAGATATGAATTGGCTTACAAGCTCGGACTGGTCAGGAATGTCTGTGCATGTGTAACCGTAGGGATACATTAAGAGTTGGGAGTAAGAGTGGATGGAGATGAAGGATTTGAAGTTTGCGTGGCTCTTGATGAGGTCCACGACATTTTTCACTTCGACCTCAGAGTGAGCAGAGGGACCATGGTAGGAGTCGGAACAGGGATCCTTGCTGGCTCCAGGACCTGGGAGAAAATGTCCATGGTCATATGAGGAAAAACATGGTCTATGTTTCAACAAGAGAGAGTAACAAACTACATACCACCAAAACCAGCATCCCAGTTCCTATTGGGATCAACGCCACGGCAGGAGGAGCCAACGTTCACCGAACGAGTTTTACGCCACATACGGTTCTGAATGTACAGGCACAAATGTCTTTAGTAATGCTTCTAAAAATATATATTTTTAAAGGTGCTGTAAGCCTAAATTTAAATAGAACTTAAACTTATTGCATAGAACATATTAAACTCGTCAAAAACTACATTTGCTTCATGGTTTGGAATCCTACATTAAATGATTTTTGGAACAATAATTAATGCGTCAAAGGTCATAGTTACTTGCATTCAAAGACCCCAGAATTTGGTTTATTGTTTCAAACCAACCTTACTACAGAAAGTAATTCATCCTACTTAAATATATATCTATTTATGCTAACCAAGGCTGCATTTATTTGATCAATCATTTTAATATGCTGATTTATGCACTAATCTTCAAATGTTTGGGATAGTAAAGATTTTATGTAATAATTATAGTAATATTAATACTTTTATTCAGCAAGCATGCATTCAATTGATCAAAAGTGACAGAAAAAAAGCCATTTATAATATGAAGATGGACATCAAATATTATTTCAAATAAATGCTGTTCATTTGAACTTTCTATTCATTAATAAATCCTGGAAAAAAATGTATTTCGGTAAAACATAAAAACGAATTAAGCAGCACAACTGTTTTCAACATTGATAATAATGAGACATGATTCTTGAGCAGTAAAATCAGCATATTCGAATGGTTTCTAAAGGATCATGTGACAATGCTTTGCATTACAGGAATATTACTTTAATAATATTTTATATTACTTTATTTTGGATTTAAAAAAATGGAGCCTTGGTGAGCATAAGATACACATTTCAAAAGCATTAAAAGAAAATGTAATCATTCCAAAATTAACCGTATACCATACTGTTGCAGTTTTTATTAATATTTTAAATTCACTTTTATTTTTATAAATTAAATATAAATATATTACTATTTAGGTTTAAAAAAATGTTTTAATGAGTTTTTTAAACATTACTGTTTATGTTCATTTTATTTTCATTCTTATCAATTTTGTTATGTGCTTTTGTCAGGATTTATATATATATATATATATATATATATATATATATAACCATTTAGATTTAATAGGCCTCCAAATACATGTCAGAAAACACTAAGCTTGCAAAATTATTAACAAGCAAAGAGCCTTTCTAAATTGGCTAGTTTTTTGATTGGCTAAACATTGACTCTTTATTTCTGTAGTCTTGGGCTGTCACAGAGACAGGTTTGATTGCTCAGGACATCTATTTTAGTGCTATCAGTGCTAAATGAATGCACCATCAGCAAGTTCAACAACAGGTGACTTACATTGGAGCGAGTGAAAGCATATCCATCAGGGTTGGTTACAATCATCAAGTAGATATCCATTTGACCAAGGAGAGAGGTCACAGAAGGATCAACGCCATAGTCTGAAGCAATCTAAAGAAAAAAGATTAGAACACAAAATTCAAATGAATAGTTTTATGTTACACAGACATATTTTTTTCACTTTCACTCACCTTGTTGGCAATCCACACAGCAGAAGCCTGAGTAACCCACTCTCTGGCATGGATTCCAGCATCAACCCAGATCGCTGGTCGACTCACACCACCCGTGCTGAACTGGAATCAGTGTATAAAAAGATGAAAAACCTAACACATCTCAGTTCACATCACAATCATATAATCGGTACTCTCAGACTCTACCTTCAGGGCATACATGGGACGGTTCTCATAGGAGCTGCCGATATGCACTTTAGAGATCAGGTTAGGGTGACTTGCCACAAGGGTGTCCATAAAAGCGTAAATCTGATGTGAAAAATAAAAATGTAGACATTTGAAAAGACATCGTTCTTATGTCATGCATATGTTTTTGTAGCACTTACAGTCTCCAGGTCATGATAAGCAGCAAAGTTGAAGCTTTTGGTGCTGCGTTCCATGTCTTCATTATTAACCATCTCTGCCTTTTCCCTGTCCAAAAGTTCCTAAAACAAAGTAAAACTTTGGATGTTACGGTTTTATTCGCGGTTATGTTCTGTGCTGAAAACACAAGTTTACCATGTAAAACTGAAGGTGACAGTTAACATTCTGCACAGATTGATAATTTCAATTCATGTTTTTGATCTCTATTTTAAAGTTCGGTTTTAATGTGGCTTCAAGGCTAGCACCTGCACATTGTTGATCATGACAGTGAAAGGGACGTTGTTTTCCCAAAGGAAGTCTTTGACGGCATTCAGACTGGTGTGAGGCACACGGATGTCAACAGGCCGTTCAGTAGAGAAGCCATGGGCCCAAAAATCCAGCTATAGGGTCACATCACATAATTTATATTAATCAATATTTTAGGTGTTTAATTGAAAACTAAAGTATGTCAGCAGCTATACAACTGTCATACCCCTGAATCCACGTCCTCTTCCAGCTCCTTCAAAGCTTGAATGTGGTCTTCAGATTCTGCATGGATTCTAAGAACTTGGTCTCTATCAAAAAAGACAGTAAGGTTACATTTTGAATAAGAAACAACACTGTAATATGGTTATAAGTCATTGGAAAAGAGAAAGTATCTGAACTTACCCATTAAAGAGCTCCTCGCAGTGAACTGCGGCCAGGAGCGCAAAGACAGCTAGATAGAGTCTCATGTTCTCTGGGAATGATCTCTACTGTAGGTCTCTTTCATGGATTGCTGCTCTTATACACTCAGAGACAGATGTTGAGTTCTCAGTAATATCAGTACTGATAGTGTGTAGTGTGTCTTTTCCAGGTGAACATTGCTGCATATTTCTCAGGGATTCTATGTACTAAACCATTTAAAAGGTGTTATCTCACAGTTTAACCCTGCTCTGACCTCTGTCAAAAATTAATCAAGTTATTTGGGACAATGCAGAAGCATAATATTTTCAAATGACAAATTTCATATCCAGCATAATCCGCTGGGACCTTTATTGAAGCTTACATTTCTCTCAATAAGGGTGTTCACAAACATATTGCATAATGTATTTGAGAGCAAGCCACGTCTCCCTTGCAGTGGAAACGATCTGGTCAGCAGGCAGGAGGAATCCGTATTTGCCTGTGTCACGCAACTCAAAAGCAAAGGAATATTTGATGCCACGTTGGTAAGCCCAGTCAACACTTGCACCACTAGCTTGTTCTGAAATAAAACATGGAGGTTAAATTCATTTCTGATATTACTGATACCACTTTTTCTCCAAACTCTCCAGTCTTTTCTAACATGCATCTTGAGACACCACTTAAAGAGATAGTTCACCAAAAAATTTAAATGATCATTATTTACACACCCTCGTGTCATTACAAACCAGTATCCATTTATTTCTTCTGCAAAACACAAAAGAAGATATTTTGAAGAATGTTGGTGATCAATCAGTTTTGGTTCCCATTTAAATTAATTAAAAAAAAATACAACAGAAGTAAATGGGAACTGAAACCTTGATAAAAATATTACTTTTGAGTTGTGAAGATATGCATACAGGTTTGTAACGACATGAAGGTGAGTAAATAAATACATATATTTAAATTTTTGGGTGGACTATCCCTTTAATCTCTCATTTCATGTGTCTCATAAAAAAATTACTCATTTTAACATAACAGACCTTAAAAACACTAAATACTTGTAGATTTTAGGGGTGGGAGAGATAAAAAAAATCGATTAATTGAGCTTAATTTTACATTTTAAAAAAACTGGCTGTAGATATAGCGTTTGGATGTGTTTGAGTGAAAAAAAAGATGAATGAATCATGAATCATAATTATGATAATCATGAATCTTGTCGAATATAGTACCTGAACGCAATTTCTATCAAAAATATTTATTGTAATGTAAACTAATGACAAAACTATGGTCAAAATCCATGTAATCGAATGTAATCAAACTGTGCAATGTAACAACATATGCCATGTCTTAGTAAGTGGTAAAAATTAATCCACAATCCACTTACCAATAGTGTGGAAGATACTCCCAACTTTATAAATGGTGCCATGCCAAGAATTGAGGGCTTTGCTTGCCTGTGTGGCCACTTCATGCTAGAATAGACACATACAAATTTGTCACTGTGAGATCATGTAAAACAAATACGATTTAGAAGAAAACCAAGGAGCTTTATGGATGTAGATTTCTTAACCAGTTCAGGCTGGTCAGGGGCGTTTGTGCCATTGAAGCCATAGGGATACATTAAGAGCTGAGAGTAAGCATGGATGGTCATGAAGGATTTGAAGTTGCCGTGGCTCGTGATGAAGTCCGCAATGTTTTTCACTTCAATCTCGGATTGAGCAGAAGGACCACGATAGTCTTCGCCGCAGGGGTCATCGCTTGCTCCAGGACCTGGAGAAAATGTAGAGACATTTAAAAAGGCAACGTAATTTGAATCTGTTTCCACACAAAAATTCAAAAATGACAGTGTGAACATACCACTAAATTCAGCATCCCAGTTTCTGTTGAGGTCAACACCAAGGCACTTGGGGTTAGAGGTCACAGACCGGCTCTTACGCCACAAACGGTGAATTGGCTGAGGTAATGTTAATTAGAAATGTCATTATAAATGCTTTTAAACATGTGCCTTAAGCAAACAATGAATGACTGCTTACACGTTCAGTGAGGTGGGAGAAAACATATCCATCAGGATTGGCCACAATCATCAGGAAAATATCCATTTTACTAAGGATACTGGGCACAGGGGCACGGTTTTCCTTGAAGTCTATGGCAATCTAGAGAGTCAGAAGGATCAGGTCAGAATATTAAAAAAATATTTTATAGGTTTATTATGTATCAGATTTGGTTGTATCTGCAAGTTCTAATCTACAGTATTTTATGGTTCCTTTTAGACTATAGTAAATTGTTACTCTGTACTTGTTTTGTCACCACATTGGCCAAACATTCAAACACTAAACACTTGCTTATTTTGAAGTCTTTTTTCTTGTAATGATATAAATGCTGTTATAAACTCACCCTGTCAGCAATCCACACTGCTGAGGCATGAGAAACCCACTCCCTGGCATGGATTCCAGCATCAATCCAGACTGCAGGCCTTTTCTCTCCACCAGTGCTGAACTGGACACATTGAAAATATATAATAATATATAATATATAATATCAGTCTGTAATCTGTGTTTATGGTGACATAATCTATTCACCTTCAAGGCATACATAGGACGGTTCTCATAAGTGCTGCCGATCTTCACTTTAGAGATCAGGTTAGGATGACTCGCAACAAGGCTGTCCATAAAACTGTAAATCTGAAGTGAATAAAAACTTTTAGATGTTTAGTTTAGATTTGAAATGCATGATATAATGTATATAAATATGGTTATGCATGCGTTTTTGCTGAAGTCAGCATCCTTACAGTCTCTAGGTTGTGATAAGCAGCAAAGTTGAAGTCCTTGGTCTTGTATTTCATCTCTGCATTCATAACCATCTCTGCTCTCTCCCTGTCCAAAAGTTCCTGAGACACAGTTAAAACTTGTGTTACAAATACTTTACTGAAAGAAAGAAAGAAAGAAAGAAAGAAAGAAAGAAAGAAAGAAAGAAAGAAAGAAAGAAAGAAAGAAAGAAAGAAAGAAAGAAAGAAAGAAAGAAAGAAAGAAAATCACAAGACTTCCTTAACTATTGGGATTTATTGGAATTAAATCAATTACTGATTTTCCTCTAGAAATTGTGCAAGACTTTCAATGTCTTTTTATTTTATTTTAGATTTTTGTAAATAACTCGCCTGCACATTGTTGATCATGACAGTGAAAGTGATGTTGTTTCCCCTAAGGAAGTCTTTGAAGGCAAACAGACTGGTGTGAGGCACACGGATGTCAACAGGCCGTTCAGTAGAGAAGCCATGGGTCCAGAAATCCAGCTATAAGGACACATAATATATATTTTCATGTCATATTGCATATGTGATCAATTGACCAGTAAAGAATGCCATACCCCCCAATCCAGGTTCTTTTCCAGTTCCTTCAAAACCTGAATGTGGTCTTCAGATTCTGCCTGGATTCTGAGAACTTGGTCTCTATTAAGAATAAAAAAGATAATTAGGACATTTTGAACAAGAAACGAGGCTGACAAATGGCAATAAGTATCTGAACTTACCCATTAAAGAGCTCCTCGCAGTGAACTGCGGCCAGGAGCACAAAGACAGCTAGATAGAGTCTCATGTTCTCTGGGAATGATCTCTACTGTAGGTCTCTTTCATGGATTGCTGCTCTTATACACTCAGAGACACATGTTGATTTCTCAGTGATTTCAGTGCTGATGCGAGTTAATATTCTACTAATGTTCTACTCCGTCATCGAGTCCTATTCTCATCTAATCTATAACTGTCTGGTTTGGTTCAGCTGCCAAATCAGACATCAGGAGACAAAAACATACAGTCAGGATGGCTAAGAAGATTATTGGTTCCCCCCTGCCCAACCTCAAAGATCTTTACACCTCCAGAGTGAGAAAAAGGGCTAAGAAAACCACTTTGGACCCCACACACCCAGCCCACATTCTGTTTGAACTGAGCAACGAGCACCAGAACAGGCACAAGAACAGTTTTCCCTCACGCTATATTCAGTCTGAACAGTTAAAACGTAACTATACATTGCCTATTATAACTGTCCATTTGTACATAACATCTAAAAATTGTACATCTGTAAATATACTTTTTTATATATGTCTATTACTTTGCAATATTGCATTATTTAAATGTTGTTTTCTTTATATTATTATTTGTTATATTATATATTATTTCATCTTTATTGTGTAATTCCTATGGATGTCTGCACCTACTTTCCTTCCGCACTGGAAGCTCTAATCAACTCACATGAAATCCACTGCATAATGCAAGATACACGGAGTCTTGGGGGTCAGAGTTGCTCATGTTGAGTTTCAAAATTAGGAATTATATGTGCATCTGTAAAGTGGTTCAAATACCAATTCCTAGTCTCTAACTTTTATATTTTGCAGTGGGATTTTAATTGTTACATTAAATATGATTGACAATAACATTGAAAATTAAATGTTATATTAGCCTTTAAGAAGTCACATCCATCTTTATGTCTATAGGAAAAGAAGTAGCCTAGGAGATATCAAACATGCATGTGGCCATAGCATGTGGCCCAACAGAGTTTCCTGTAGAAAACAAAAAACAATACAATAATACTTGGTTCCGGGCATTTACCGGTAAAATGATTAAAGATAGTTTTTCCACAATTATAATCTTTTCAATAATTAACTACTTAGTCAGTGCACGAAAGTCATTTTAAAGTGTTAAGTTTACAAACAAGTAAATGAAAAGTGGGCGGAGTCTTACCTCGGACATGACGATTCAAATCACATGACGCCTTCACCCTTGTCAGCTGACGCTTGACGGAACTGTACTTTAGTGTTGCAGCAGATTTCACTCATATATAGCTTAAGTAGTTATTAATAGTTTCGATTAGTAGTTCCGAAGTTAGTATTCAATCGTTTCCGTGATAAATCCCTCTTCAGATCGCAGTCAGTGCCTTAAAAACAACTTTAAAACATGGCGCTCAGCGATGCCGCGGTACAGAAACAGGTGAGAAAACCAGTTAACAAGTTTATAAACTACTTTTAGAAGTTATATTTTTAAATGAGGTATTTTATTTAAGATCAGGTAAGTATAGAAATCTCATAACTTTTAAAAAGAAACATGGCAGGCACAAATTTGTGGTTCGTTGTTTTGAACTGATATTCAGGATTATTATTCTCGTAAACAAACATTTTTAATTTATATATTGTCGTTTGTATTTTATGAAGAAGTTTTCTTAGTGTTTTGAAAGGCGCCTATAACGAAAGCATGATTATTTATTATTTTATCTTGTACTCGTAGATACATCTGAAATATCCCATTCACTTTGAGGAGAGAAAATGCACTTTCTTAAATCTAGATGTTATTAATTAATATACTGTGAGTGTTTAATGCTGTGAATTGTAATGGCAAAAGAGGAAATCTGTCCTTCAGTTGTCCAGAGCAGCTCCATGGACTTTCCCAGCTACACCGATTCAACACTTCTTTCAGTCTCGCTTCCCCATCAGTTTCTACCCTCGTCTCCTTTTGTTTCATTACATCAGCTTAATAAAGTATCAGTGGTGCTTCAATTCACACATTGTAATTTAACCTTGCTTTGCTCTTTTATTGACACTGATCTCATTGCATCTCTCCAGATCAAACACATGATGGCCTTTATTGAGCAGGAAGCCAATGAGAAGGCAGAAGAAATTGATGCAAAGGTAGCACAAATCCAATGATTAGCATAAGTGCATAAATATGGTCGAATTTGTCTAGAGCTTTATCGTCTATTAATTTTCCTTAAATATCTGCTTTAAGTCATGTGTATTGTGGCTTGCAGGCAGAAGAAGAGTTTAATATCGAAAAGGGACGACTGGTACAGACTCAAAGGTTGAAGATAATGGAGTACTATGAGAAGAAAGAGAAACAGATTGAACAGCAGAAGAAAATGTGAGTTTAAGTTCTTTAAATGTGTAACCTTGAGTCCTTCATTGGCGTATTTAATGTGTCCATTCAAATCCACAGCCAGATGTCGAATTTGTTGAACCAGGCAAGACTGAAGGTGCTCAAAGCCCGCGATGACATGATTAAGGTATGATGATGATGTGATTTTTACATTTATATAGTCTATATTTTTATAGAACTACAAGAAATCCATCTCTTCTTCATCTTCCTCATGTGATTCTTTGCAGGATCTCCTAAAGGATGCACAGCAACGGTTGGCCAACATTGCCCAAGACCCAAATCAGTACCCAGCACTGCTGGAGGGGCTGGTGTTACAGGTCAGATATGGTCCTGTTAGCAATGCTAGCTTTTTTTTTTTTTTTTTAAATGTTTTTTAAGCAGATTTTGACGACTTGCAGTGGTCATATCATACTTTTTTTTAATTATTATTATTATTATTTCAGCACTACTGAGAAACTGTTGGGTGTTGAAAGTCAGGTGGCTAATAGACACTGGATATTTATTTAATAACAAACTATATATATATATATATAATATATATATGTAAATCAAGTAGCAAGAAATATATATATATAATATAGGTTTCTTTTTATAGTTTTTAATATATATATATATATATAGGTTTCATTTTATATTTATTTATATATATATATATATATATATATATATATATGTATGTATATGTGATTCTTTATTTAATAATTTGTTTTATTAGTTTACTGGCACCTTGAGTCTTCTATTATTTATAATTTAGTATTATCATGTTATATTTAGTTTACATGTAGTTATATCAACATATATGTGTCAGGGTTATTATTAACTAAAACTATAACAAATCATTACTTGAAATAAAAATTAACTTAAGTAAAAAAGTTATTTCCTCAACTAGTTGTACATTTTATTTAATTAAACTACATAAACTAAAACTTAAAACTAAAGACATTTAAAAAAACTAATAAAAAAGACAAACACAAAACAATACTACACCTTTAACTTGAATTAAAATATTAAAAATAATGTAACTCTCCAAAGTATTAGCAAAGACTGTAATAGTATATCAATGATTTATATATATATATATATACACACACACACACTGTATATATAAGTTAATATATATATATAATTATTTTTATTAATCTTTTATTGTTATTATTAATAAAATAATTGTGTATTTTATGAACTTTTTTTCCTCTTTTTGCTTCGGTAGGGATTTTATCAGCTGCTGGAGCCCAGGGTTATAATCCGGTGCAGAAAGCAAGATGTAGCGATGGTGCAGGTGAGCTCTATTCCCTGTCTATCCGTTTACATAATATTTTACAATGTGCATATCAGCTATGCAAACCGTTTACACTTTTGAAGAGGTTGATATACCTGTTTATTTTAGGCTGCTGTTCAGAAAAACATCCCTATCTACAAAGAGGCTGTAAAGAGTAATATTGAGGTGCGCATCGACGAAAACAACTTCCTGTCCCCTAACATGTAAGATCTCTTCTACAGTTTTGTTTTAAAAAAAAGGCTCATTTATATATTCTCAAATTGTTCATTGTTCATGCTTGGCATCCTCAGTTCAGGAGGTGTTGAAGTTTATAATGCTGATGGCAAGATCAAGGTGTCCAACACACTGGAAAGCAGACTAGACCTTCTAGCGGAACAGGTAGAGAAAACAATCACATTTTACAACAGAAATAAACAGTATAAAAGCTTGTTTTTGTGAATGTCGTCCTCATAATTTTTTTCTGCTTTCACAGATGATGCCTGAGATCAGAGTGACTCTGTTTGGTGCCAACCCAAACCGCAGGTTTATGGATTAATGGACTGTTACTAACACACATTAGTGGTAGTTGGGAGAACGGTGAAATTCAGAAAACATGATGAAGTGATGAGGAGGTCTGATGGGCAGTTTTATTTTTTTAAGGTCACTGTGGTTTTTCTGAAGTGTAAAACTATTCTTGTTGCAATTCTGGATATTCAATTGGTCATGTTCCAGCCATTTATTGTTGTGCTCTTTTTCTTGTGTGTTTTTGCTCTTGGAAAACAAGTCCAAAGAAAGTGTTTGAGGCTTTGGCTTTTAAGGCTTATTTAAGGCTTATCATATTTGCTCGTGTTACCTTATATCTCTGTGTTTTAGCGGTTTCTGTTTAAATATCATGTCACCAGTAGGGAAAATGGATACCTGACATCTTATCTCAAGCTGTTTGAACAAAGAGCAATAAGCACTCAGGAATTCACATTGTTTTTGCCTTGAAAGTTGTAATCTAAACCAGCAGCCTAACAGGTTTTCCCTGGAAAAGAGAAGTCCTCATTTAATGTCTTAAAAACAGATGCCTTTGTTTTTTTTTTTTCTGCATTTTCATTTGTAGTACAATTGCATAATACTACAGATAAATAAATCAAATATATTTTATTTATATTCTGAAGCATTTCTGGGCCCATTACAATAGAAACAAAGCATCGCTTGGTGGTTACACTTTATCCACCGTACAGGAAAGATATCAAGTCGTACATCTTACAGAGGCTTACAGAAAATACTACATACACCTCAAATATTAAAAACACGCTGCCGCCTTGTGGAAATCAAACATATCAGATGCAAATTAGCATCGGTTGTGGTGCACAAACAATGTTTTGCATAATCAAATGTCTCCAGACCATGTTTTCAAAAAGACTTTAAAATACAAAGGCTGATGAATAAATTGAATAAGCAGAGACACATATATCAGTCTTGCATATTTAAAATGTACAGATTGCTTGTTGCTTATCAAAATTATTCAGTATAACATGAATATGAAGCCTGTGGGGTGTTTTTTCTTTCTTTCTCAAAAATCAGGTTTTGCCTTCCAATGAATCTATAAACTGCTTGTTATTATTATAATACTGTATTTTAAATTGAAAGATCTTTTATTTTTCCGCAATTTTACAGAAGTGCACTCAAAATTAAACTATTCAAGACCTAATTTCTCTATACTTTTCACTGTATTCTTTCTTACTGAAGGTGAAAAAAATATATATAACACTTTAAAAGCCACTGGTAATTTATATTACGTTTTGTTATTTCTTTTTAGTGAAAAACTTGAGTGGCAAGAATAAGGCTTTTTGCTTTTTTTAATTTATTGCGCACTCAACAAAATAATTTAAAGAAGCATTAAAAAATATCAAGCCGACATTATATAGCCTATAGGAATTCTGTCCCGCAGAGGAACATGTAACAGGAAGACAAGGCCTCCACAGCGAAGCCCGGCAGTCTCTTCAGATTTATTGAGAGACAAGAATTAAATTAAGTCAGCAGACCCTGCAAACTGTTTTTGAGTATTTTTTTGCTGTTTAAAGGGGTGGGAATTAGTGGTAGAGCGGCAAAAAATTTGGTAGATCTGAATCCATTTCAACTTTAATTCAAGTCTCCTTTAAATCTAAATACGCATCGAACCTGTTTACAACAGATCGATCAACCATGAATCATGTTGGTTTAATACTGATTGTAACTATGGGCTTTAAGACATAAAAATAATAACCCTTCCAGGACCCTGTCTTACCAAAAGTTTGCAGTTTTTAGGTAGCATACTTGGTTAGTGTGCAATATAGGCTTTTATGTTAGCATTACACAACCCTCCTCTGTTCTTCCAAAGGGTCTGAACTTCCTTTGGTTGGGTACATGAATTTCTCTCCATCTTTACCTTTTCGCAAATAAAGTCTGGAACCTTCTTTTTTTCATTGTCGCAACTTCCTTCATCTCTCATCATCATCTCGTGGCCCGTGTAGAAACAGTAATGTGTGTATGGTGATTGAGGTGACATCACCTGCTGCTATCCCAGCAGGCCCAGCAGGTGCTCGCCGATGCCCAGGAAGTACACGCCCTGAGCGATGCCAAAGAGCGGAGCGATGACCAAAGCACGACACGTTGCTCCCTTGAGAAACGCGCTTGGTCCCTCTCGTTTTAAAATGCGTCTGTGAAAAGAAAGTATAAATGTCATTATACATGAATATGCTAATTATTTATGTCATACAATAAGAAGCCAAACATGTAAATAAAAAGCTTACTGTGTGCAGTCAATGATGCCTTTATAGGAGTCTTCTCCCTCTCCCTTCTGTAAGGTCTGTAGGCGGGTCTTTATAACTGAAAATAATAAGCATTAATGAATATTAAAAACAGATTTGGTTGGATCTACGCCTAAAATGAATATTTTAATTTCTCAGATTTGGTTTTCCAGATGCAGGTTATAGAGCGGTTCAGTAGTTAGTCTGACTCATTTCCATGAATCGGCTCTTCAAAGTGTTCTTTGAAAGAGTCTTTTCAAAAAACGATTCAGCGATTCTTTTAAGTCATGATGTCATTAAGTCACATGTGGTCCCTGACATACTAAGATTTAATTATTCTCAAAGACCGTGCTAATTGTTTATTTATGCAATTTTTTATATGAAAACATTCTCTGAAACATTATAATAAAGCCACAAGTAGAATATCTTGATTCTGTTCTATTAGCAAATGTTTATTATAATTTTATGTGTTCCAATTCAGTTTGTTGCCACATGATTCACTTTATTAAAAAAAGTCATTTAAATATAAGTCTACTATAAACATTTATTTTCATGATTTGTTATCACAACTTTTTATCTTTTGTCAAATCAACTTAGATAATTAATGTGGTTCAGATAACTTAATATTTGAGTTTCTATTTATTAAACCAATCTCCTTTATTGTATTTAAAAAAAAAATATTTCAATGAACTAAAATTTTTAAGGTAACCAGATAACGACTTTTGGTAAGTTTAACCAACAATATTTTTTTACAATGTACACTGAACAATACTAATTAATAAATAATAATTTACACCCGTGATTTTTTTATAATATTTTAATAAAATGCTATTTGGTAAAACCAGATCTGTTTGTTGACTCAAGAACTGCTCTGGCCAATTCAGTTAGATTTAACAGCAGTAAAAAATGGTATGATCAAGTCATGACAACATGTTTTAACATTACTTTAACTTAAAAAAAGTTAAGCAATTTTCAACTTTTTTTAGATTCAACTCATTTTTTTAAAAGTCAGTTTAATATTATTTAAGTTGAAATGACTAATACAGCCAAGTTGATTGCACTTAAAAATTTAAGTTAGCAACCTTTTTTTCACAGTGAGGATCGACCAACAGATTCAAGGTTTTTTAAATGTTAGTTAAGCGTTAGGTAAATGTTTCTGCACTTTAAATCAACATCAGTGTGGTTACTGTAACATAATTTACAGTAAAAATGGAAAAATTAACTGATGAAAAACTAGGTTATAGGTTTCCTATGAGTCTATTTGTAATGTTGTAATGTTGCAGAGAGTACTGCCAAATCTTCAGATGGAGACACTGCAGTGACTGCCAGAGTTTCTACTGTCCAAATAAACCTTCTGTCCCCTTTACTGCTTTTTTAGCCAACAAAGAACTCACAATACAATAGACATAGAGACAAGAGCTATAAACAAAAAGCTTTCTAAATAGAATTGAAAAGCAAACTTAACAGACTTTCTTCAAAGCAAATGAAATGTTTTAGTCTACACATCACATGGGGTTTAATAATTAATCACTCAGAAACAAAAGACTCATTCTGTGCCTTTATGAAATACTTGGAGTGACCTAGTTAATCAACAGTTTGGCAAAAATGTACCCATAATTCATCACAAAACAAAAAGGCTCTTTTTAAGATCTGATTCCTTTAAATAATCTTCAGTACTAGAAGTAATAAGTATTTCTTTGAAGAACTACTCCTTTTTGTTAAGAAATGTTAGAAGTACAAAAATAAATGTACATGCACTAAGTACATTTTTCATGCATATAAAACATTTTATATATAATATGTATTGTTATTGAAATAAATAAATATTCAGTGTCTATTAGCCACACAAAATCTATATCAATTGTCTATCAACAGTTTCTCAGCAGCGCAGTAGCATTGAAACAGGATTAGCAGTGGTTTTCACAGGCTTGGACGGCCACGACTAACTGAACGGGACATTTATCTGCATGCATTTCAAAAGGAGAGAGAGCAAATTGTGTTCCTCTACTCCTCTCTTGCCTGTATCTCACCGTCCAGAGGAGTGACAGCTACCGCCGCCACCGAGCCGGCCGTGCAACCGGCCACGAAAGACTGCAGGAAGGGGGCCCGATCCTGGGGGTTGCTATGGCGATCCTCAGTGCGGCCCACAGTGTTGAGGTTGGCGAACAGCGGGAAGTAGATCATGGAGAACGGAACGTCCCTGAACAGAGAAAGGACATAGAGCTGTAGAATGTAGACATAGCTGCAGGACGTAATTGATGAATCGTTATCGATCACTGTGCCTGATTAGTTTTAGCCTGTAAATGTGAAACGTGAAACGATGAATGGAGAAATATGATTTAGGCCGTAGACGAGAGACAACAGATTGAGATAGATCGAGCTCTCGGTAGAATTCCATTAAGAAGAGAATTATGCCTACGGTTAATTAGAAGCTATGAATAACAGATCAGAACTGACAGCTGGCAGGTTACATCAGTTCAGCTGGGATTACATCACAGACTGCAGGGATCCTGTGGGGGAGGGGCTGTTTGGATAGGTGAGTGGGTTTATTTGTGTGGGCGGTGTTAAAGGTGAGAGGTCACCGTGCCGTCTATCCATCTTTTTGTCCTGAAACAGTGCATGCATTTGCAGAGAGAGCAATCACTTAAGTTAGTTAAGACAACGCGTCACTGAGGGTTTGCAAAAGGTCTGGATGTTGATCGGCTAACATCGCTTAGTTATTTGACCAATACCTTCAAATCCTGTTATTATTAATAACAGTGGCATGTTGTTCCAAACCCGTATGGTTTTCTTTCTTAACATAAAAGCTGAATTTTCTTTTTAAAGAATTTCCTGGCTTCTTTTACAATATAATGAAAGTGAATGAGCCCTAAAAACAAACACCAAATAATATAATAAAAAGGGTCCTTATATCTCATGTACTATATTCCAAGTCATAATATTGATTTGTTTGATGAGCAAACCAAAATTTAGATTGATACTCAATTAAAATCCTGAGTAGAGATGCCCAATTCATGATTTAAGGCCCATTCACACCAAGGACAACAACTAAAACTGAATTGAAATATCCACACCACAACTATAACAATAACGACACAGAGGAATTATATCATTGGAATCACTTTTAGAATGATTTTTTTCCAGCTGATGAATGATAATAACATAGACAGCCAATCTACTCAACGTTAAAGAGCTCGAGCATTTAAAGCAACATACAACACATAACTATATTGGTGGAAGCTAATATAACTTTATAGTTATTGTTCATCGTATGAACGAGCTTTTAAAGTCACCATGAAATCAAAATTGACTATTTTAATTTTGTTATGGAATATTTTATGTTAATTTAAAAGTGATTACACTTACACATCTTTTTTTTTTTAAATAATCGTAATCGCAAACAACAACAATCCGATAAGTTTCCAATGGACAAAATTTAATCCCGCCCTACATTTCTTCTTGTTCGAGAAGTTGTTTCACTTGGATATACGTCACAATAAGGAAGAAAAGATGATACACTTCCTTTAAATTTCCATTTAATGCCAACTTGAATTGTTATTTTTACTCCACACAGAGATGGCGTTTTTATTAACGAAAAATACGCTTTTTGAAAACGCTCTCCAAAGTGGATCAATTTGAAAACGCTGTTTTCGTGTTGTAGTGTGGACTATAAAAACGGAGGTATCTGAAAACGATGACGCGTGTGTAGTCATGTGACGCATATTATACCGATAGATATTCATGTTTATACCGGTATTGTTATGTGATATTCACTTTCACACAGTTGCTAAAGATATGTTACTTTGCACACTCCTCATACCACAGTCCTGCAAAGATGACAGAAAATGTACTCACATTTTCTGTCCTGCGCGCAAAACATGAGAGAAGTTGCGTTTTAGACCAAACGCATCAGTGAATGG